CTTCCTTCCTTCCTTCCTTCCTTCCTTCCTTCCTTCCTTCCTTCCTTCCTTCCTTCTTTCCTTCCTTTCTTTTTCTTTCTTTATCTCTCTCTCTTTCCTTCCTTCTTTTTTTCTATTTTTTTTTTTTTTTTTTCTGAGACAGGGTTTCACTGTGTAGCCTCGGCTGTCCTGAACTCCCTTTGTATACCAGGCTGGCCTCAAAGTCACAATGATCGTTCAGCTGGCTTTCTTAATGCAAGGCCAGCTGTCCACAGTGAGATGGACCCTCCACATCAATCAACAGCCAAGGTAGTTCCTCACGGACATGACCATAGGCCAATCTGCTCTGGGCAATTGCTCAGTTGAGACTCCCTCAGGCCAGTCTGCTCTGGGCAATTGCTCCCTCTTCCCAGATGACTGTTGGTTGTGTCAAGCTGACAAAACACTAGCCAGCACACACTCACCAGCCAGTGCCATCCTGTAGTGCTGTTTCTTAGAAACACCCCTTTCTCTTTCAGTCATAAAACATGGCGCCTATGATGTTCGGCACGGAGCTCTGCATTCTGTCAGTGTTTGATGCAAACCTGTGCTCCTCAGCTGAACATCTGTGAGTTTCAACGTGACACTTAAAAGCACTAAGCATGTCAGAACAGTTTGACAGGAGGACACTGTCGTTCAACAATGACTTGGAAGACCCAAACAAGTAGGAAAGAGAAAGGCAACATCAATTCGATATAATCGTCAACAGTCTTAGAGAGTGCCGATGTCTAGAGGGACCCAATTAGTCTCTGAAATGTTCGCAATTAACTATTATTTCTGAAACAGGGTTTGTAGCCATGAGCAATGAGGCTGCATTGCAGGTGCCTGCCAGGGAGGGTAACAATGGAGTCGGCACAGAGGCCCGGGTGTGTGTGTGTGACCGACCATGTGGCCGTTCTCGAAAGGACTAGCCGCACCACAGCAGCTGCTGCTGTGACAGATGCGTTCTCCACGCTCAGTGAGGGACGTCAGGGTGCTGCTCTCTCTCAGTGCACGCTAATACTTGACTGCCCTCCAAAAAGAATTCCAAGATGCAGGAGCTAAGTTCTCGGCATGGCTCCGGGCAGCGTTGTCTTACCGTCGGAGAAGAGGTGCTCGGCCCCGGCAAACAGCCGCAGGAGCTGCCCCAGCTCGTACTGCGTCTCACATTGCTGTGGCATCAGCTTCAAAAGGAAACACACCTGATCCCTCATCCATGTGGCAGGTATGATAGGAAGGGCCCTTGTAGCCGCTGTGTCAAGCTATGGAAAACAACAGAGGCTCAGAGAGAACAGTTCAAAGGAATGAAAAGGCAGAACCCCCAAAATTTGGGAGCAAGAAAGCCAAAATATTCTGAAGACTACTCTCTTATGGGGCTGTCGCAAAGGGAGTGGCTGAGCAGCTGACAGAGTGGCAGGAAGCGTGATGGGGTCAAAGGACAGTTCTGCTGCTTTGCAGGAAGGGCTGGTTTAGGGGATACATATATGAAAGTTCAGGGTCTCAAATGCTGGGAACCGTGGGGTTCCTTGGCTTAAATTCCCCTTCCTCTTAAATTAATTCCCCTATGTACTGCCATGAAATTAACCAACCATGTTTCACTAGGCAGCTTCCTAGAAGGCAATCTGGGCATATATTTGAACCCAGAAGATTTAAAATTCATAGTATGAAGATCTTTTAGAAAGACTTTCTTCTGTCTGCTAAGGAAAAGGAGAATTCCAAGTTCTAGGTCAGCCTGGGCTACAGAGCAACATAATGTCTCAAAACCCCTCAGCTGGGTAGATGTTTTCTTCCTTTTTAAATCATTAAAGATATTCTTATTTGATTTACTTGGTATGTGAGAGGGGTACGTGGCGCAGGTCATTTGTGACAACATTAAGGAGTTGGCCTGTCCTTCTACTTCCCACACCGGGTTCTGGGGATGAAGCTCACGTTGTCAAGCTTTGAGGCAAACCTGCCAAGCCATCTCCACGGCTCAACAAAAAACCAAAATGTTTTCCTCTCACGGTAAATACAGCAGGGTCTTAGGACATCCTTTGCATCTTCACTGTCACAGCCGCCCCGGACTGATGAAATGTGGCCATGTACATCTCTACATCTCTTGTTGACGTCCACAGCAGGGACCATGACTCTTTGCCCCAGTTTGGCTGCAGCCCCAGGACACGGACTGCAGGGCACATTATAGGACTTCTGTTTATGGCAACCACAAGTCATCCCCCGCCCACCTGGCTTCTCTGCAGTGGCACGGTGACTGTCAGTCACGTGGCCCAACCACTTGTCTGTGGCTTCCCGGTATCAGCCACCAGCAAAAAGGCTGCACCAACACCTTCAGATTGGACAGAAGGGCCCTCCGGCCTACCGTGTCGAGGCTTTTCTGGAACTGCACGAGCTTGACTTTGGCTTTCTCATAATTCTTGAAGAACATACACAGTTCGTACATCTCCATAATCAACAGAAGTGGGGAATCCTTTGGAGAAGAATTGAAGTTAGGAAACCCAGAAATCAAATGATATTAATAACAACTTCAGAATCAGATTAAGGTTCATGTTATTTTCTTTTGGGGGGAAAAATCAATAAATCGACTAATCATTCCTGTTAGTCTACACACTGTCCTGTAGGCGGCACTATGGCCCCAACAAACATTTCTGGAGGCAAAAGTGAACCAGGAGCTACTGTGGCTTCAACCAGACTCTTTTTGGTGGGGTTGTCAGCCAGAAAAAAGGAATTCTGGATTAGAAAGGATGACTCTGAACTGTAAGTGTGCTCACTGACTCAAGCACTGTGTCTCTGTGGTTTGAGTTATGTGAGCTTTAGTTATCAGTCTGTTAAATAAAGGTAATACCACGTCATAGCACCCGTACAGTTATTTTACACACTGTAAGAACTTACTAAACCAATACATATAAAGTGCTCTGCTAAATAAATGTGGTGTATCTCCAAGGACCTAGGCTCGAAACCCAATACTAAACACACACACACACACACACACACACACACACACACACACACACACACACACAGACACAGTAGTTCTATTACTGTTATCTTCCCTTGTTGACTTAAAAAAAAATTTCCAGGTCTGAGAATAAGAAAAAAACCAAGGAGTGCTACGCTGACAAGCTGAAGTTCTGGAAAGATCTGAAGAAAGAGAGAGAAAGAGAGAGAGAGAGCGCGAGAGAGTGTGTGTGTGTGTGTGTGTATGTGTGTGTAAAATACCTTAATGAAAAGTCGGAAGCCTCGGATGAGAGTGTGGCTCTTCCGTCTTGTCAATACAGTTTTCCAGATAATGGACAGGTCCTCGAGGCTCCACGGATGCTCCTCTACAGGGACCTGGATGTGTCTTGTTGCTTCGGCTGCCACCTTGTCCTCCACAGAGGTGACAATCCAAACACAGAGACAGGGGACAGCACCAGCACCCTACCATTGGATGAGAATGTTTCAAAAGGACAGAACGGGGCCTGGGTTATACAGATGACAAAGACTCAGATGGGCACACCCTGCTTAGAGGAGGTCACTCTGTCTCTTAGTTCAAGCAGCCTAGGAAGCTTCTGAGCACCACACAAAGTGGTCAACAACAAGGGACTATCACCAACTGTCCTGAAGAGTGTGGCAGTCAAAAGGCCACCGAGGGGACAACACTCCACTTGCTGGTTGAGACTAAAGACTGAAAATCTCCCTTTTCCAACAAGGTGCTAGGGGAGAGCCGAATGCCTGCCCAGCAGAGCACGCTCCTGACAGCCAGCCAGGGGCTGCTGCATTCCCAATGCAGGATTCCTGGTACCAGAGGCAGGGAGGAGGCTGGGTGGACAGACAGCCTGAGTGCTGGAAGCACAGACACCGTCAGTGACCTTGTAAGCAGGTGCGGGAGCCTCACTATTGTCCAGAACCATTACAGTCCCCTCCCTGCCTGCTGCTTTCCTTCCTCCCTCCCCCTTCTCTGCTTTCTTCTCTCTCCATTGATTCTCTGTGTACGGGCACATGTGTGCTGAGGCTCACAACAGCCTCACGAGGACAGTGGATCCCCTAGGGCTGAACAGCAGGCAGGATGAGCACTTAAGTCAGATTCCCTGCAAGGGCAATAACATTTGTGTGTGTGTGTGTGTGTGTGTGTGTGTGTGTGTGTGTGTGTGTGTGTGTACACGTATGCCATGGAGCATGTGTGTGTGGAGGTCAGAGGACAACTGTGGGAGTCGGTTCCTCCTTCCACCATGTGAGTTCCAGGAATCAAACTCAGGTTGTCAGTTTGGTGCAAGTACCTTTACCTGTTGAGCCATCTCACTGGCCCCTGGTTTCTTCTTTTTTGTAGTTGTTGTTTTACTTTGAAAATGACTTACTTTGTTTTTAATTCTCTGTGAGTGTGTATCTGTGGGTATGTGCGCATGAGTGCTCGTGCCCACAAAGCCCCGAAGCGTTGGAGCCACTGGAGTCTGAGTTAGAACTCAGGTCCTGTTCGAGAGCAGCATGTGCTTAATACCTGAGCCATCTCTCCAGCCCGTGCTTGGTTTTCCTGAGACGGGGTCCCGCCTTATGGCCCAGGTCAGCCTCAAACTTGCCATGCTCCTAACCCAGCCAGCCAGGAGGGTGGAGCACAACCCCCAGCGCGGCCAGCTCTTCTCTGCCTATCCTGTTGCTTTCTGGCTCCTCAACTTAGGCTTTCTGTGCCCCTCACCTGGAGACACGAGGCCAGGACACTGAGGATAGGAGCCCGCTGTCTCACTGCCTCAGCTAGCAGCCAGCACCAAGAGGCTGACTCCTCCGAGCACCGGTGGAGAATCTCAAACAAATCACTCATTTCTCCTGTGCTTCTCTGAAGCTCCTGGAGGCCTGTGCTGTCTCCATCGCTGTCTGCTCTAGAGATGCACCTTGCCGACAGTTTCTCAGAAGCCAGCTTCAAGTGGCTCTGAAGGACTGGACTGAAGAACTGAAGGAGAGATTCCACCTAGAAAGAGGATTAAGACACACTCGATGTTCTTTTCAGTTAGAACGAGTATGCCACAGAAAGGCTCACAAAGGTGGTGGTGAGCACTCAGGAGGCAGAGGCAGGCAGAGCTCTGTGAGTTCGAGGCCAGCCTGGTCTACAAGCAAGTCCAGGACAGCCAGGGCTACACAGAGAAACCCTGTCTCGAAAAACAAAAGAAACAAACAAACAAAAGGATGATTATAATGCTGAGCTACACCAAAGGTGACCACGTGATCCATGATGATGTTTCTGATTTATTTGTGATAACATCCCACTATCTGGCCCAGGGTAGCTTACAACTTGCCATCCTGCCTTCTCAGTCTCCCTAAGTACTGAGATTCTAGACTTGAGCCACCACACTGTTTGCTTTTGAGGGAATCTGAGTAAATGTCCGTGTTCAACCTGGACTCCTAGAACCTCGCCCACACTCTGTTCTAGTGACTGCTGCCTTGCCTAATGCCAGCCTAAAGACTCAGCAGACATGGGTCTCATGGCAGACAAGCACAGAGAACGCGCTCTGGGGAGCGTGGTTTACCTCTTCTGGGCGGTAGTTATGGAGCTGGCTGTGAACCAGGAACTGTACCCAGTCATTCGCTTTGGCACATTCTTTAAGGTAGGACACGCTCAGGTTCATATCGTGGAGTGTGCAGAACTGTAGCACTAATGCCCACTGGCTGCTGGACTCACTGGACAACCTATAATTAAAATCGGAGGTGGAAAGAGGAAAAATCATTAAAATGTAGCTCACAAGCCAGACTCGTTGTTGAATGTAAGGCAGAAAATAGGGATATCTAGGAGTTTAAGGTCAGCCTGGTCTACAGAGTGAGTTCCAGGCCAGCCAGGGCTCCATGGTGAGAGCCTGTCTCAAAAACCAGAAATAATAAGGAAATGAAGTCTAACTCTTGTGGGGGAGGGGCAGAGAGATGGCTCAGGGGTTGGGAGAGCTTACTGCTCCTGCAGGGAACCTGGGGTTGGTTCCCAGAACCCACATCAGGCAGCTCACAACTGCCTGTAATAATAATAATAATAATTATAATAATAATAATAATAATAATTATTATTATTATTATTTTTTCCTTCTCTTCCTCTTCTTCTTCCTCCTCCTCCTCGTCCTCCTCCTCCTCCTCTTCTTTTTGGTTTTTTAAGGCGGGGTTTCTCTGTGTAGCCCTGGCTATCCTGGATCTCAGATCTGGTTACCCTTGCCTCCTGAGTGCTGGGATTAAAGGTGACAATTGCCTGTAATTCTAGTTCCAGGGAATCAGCACCTTTGGTTTCCATGGGCACACATACACACAAACACACACTCACCTGTGATCTAGTTTGAAACATGGAAGTTAGTAAAAATTAAATAAATTAACCAGAACATATTCTCTTTAAAAAAAAAAAATAGCAAGCTTGGGCCAGTGGTAGCATAGGACTTTAATCCCAGCACTTGGGAGGCAGAGGCAGGCAGATCTCTGATGTACAAAGTGAGTTCCAGACAGCCAAGGCTACAAGAGAAACCTTGTCTCAAAACAAACAAATAAACAAATGAAAAAACAAAAGAAAACCAAAGAACCACCTCTCAGGCTGGAGAGGTGGCTCAGCAGTTAAGAGTACTTGCTGTTCCTGCAGACATTCCTGGTTCAGGTCCCAGCTCCCACACGGCAACTCACAACTCTTTGTAACGTCAGTTCCCAGCATCCACATGGGGCTCACGACCCTTTGTAATGTCAGTTCCAACAGATCGGGCCTCTGAGGACACTGCACTTCCGAGGCACACAGACATACCTTCAGACAAAACACTCATCCACATAAAATATACAGAGTCTTAAAGACCTACAAGGCAGAACTGACTCCCAGCTCATCTCTCCAGAGGGGACCCCACAGGTGAGCTGCGACTTCCGCCTGTTCTCTGCTGTCTGAGCGAAACTAGCTGTGAAGAGCGGTGAGGAAAGAGCACTGAGGGAAGGTCAGGTCGGCGCAGGCTGGCTTGTCAGGTTCACTAGAGAAAGGGCTGGGGTTGGGAGTCACAAACCTGTTGAAACCCTGCTGCTCAATGCTGTTCCACACGCCTTCTTCCAAGAGTACAAGCAACTCCTCTGCAGCTGCTCTGTCACCATCAGCAAGCTTAGACAGCTTCTCGGCTGAAGAAACACAGGCAGAAAGAAGGCATGTAGTGCCAGCTACCCAGGACGCTGAGCGAGATAGACTGCGTGAGCTCTGAAGCTCGGGGCAGCCAAGCAAGACAGAACACAGTGGGACCCCATCGTTAATAACCCCAGACCAAAGAAAACGCCCCCAAAGACCAAAGCCATCAAGAGGGAGTGTGTGTGTGTGTGTGTGTGTGTGTGTGTGTGTGTGTTGTGTATGTGTTGTGGCATGTGGTGTGTGTGTGTGTGTGTGTGTAATGTGTGTATATGTGTTCAATAAAAAAAGTCAGGACCTAAGCATTTTTGTTAAAGTAATGAGGCTCAGGGTCATTCAAACCCAATTAAAATGACCTCTAAGAAAGTGAGATAAATAATATAAACTGGGCAAGAAAAGGGAAAACTACCGTTTCCACCTCAACCCTTTTTAACCGTTCCCACATTTCCTTTGGACAAAACAGGTGGCATGGCAAAGCAAAGGCACTGTACCTAGAGACTCTCTGATGACGCTGGGGTGGACATCTTCATTTCTACACTTGTAGCTGAAAACTACATTTGCCATTTTCATGCCAACTCTGAGCTTGAGACTGCCAATGCCAAGCAGTTCTAAGAAGCACACACAGGCGGCCCCTACCGAAGGGCTGTGGAGGGAGGACAGCCCTAGGGCATAGGCCTCCTTGCCTGCTTGCTGGATCCTGAAAAATAAAGAAATCGAAATGATATCAGACACAGCATTATTGCCACACTGGCTGGGGACAGGCGCAGCGGGGACAGACCTTGCCCCACAGGTGTGAGAACCTACCTTCACACCCCTTAACCCACATGAAAGCCGGGTGAGTGTTGAGGAAGATGGCTCAGTGGGTAAAGATACTTGGTACCAAGCCTGGCAACTTGGGTTTGATCTCCCAGACTCACAGAGTGGAGAGAACCGACTCACAAACGCTGTCCTCCAGGGTAGGGAGATGGCCCAGCGGCTAAGAGTGTTCATCACTCTTATCCACCACCCAAGTTTGGTTCCCAGCACCCAGAGTCCAGACCTCTAACTCCAGCTCCAGGGGACCACACACCCTCTTCTGGATCCCTGCATGCACATGCGCAACACCGCCTCACTAGACACAAGCACATGGTTAAAAATAAAATCTCAAAAGCTGTCCTCTAACTTCCACATATAACTTGGTGTACACACACACATTACACACAGAAACACAATCCACATACACCATACACACAAAACCACGAATATCATAGTCACACAAACTATGTACACACACAGATCATACCATACACACACACACACACCAAAACTACATATATCATATACACACAACACATGCACACAGACCATTTACATCATATCATACACACATAAACACACATCACATACACATATTACACAGAGACACAACCCACGTACACTGTACACACAAAACGTGCACCATAGCACACAGACAAGCAAACTATGTACACATCCACCACACACAGAAAGCACAGACATAACACATACAGACCATTAACACCACATAGATCGCGCACGAGACAAAGAAGTGGAACCGTGTGAATGGTAGAGCCTTGTATCTGATCTTGTGCTTCCCCTTTTCCTTTCTGCTTACCTGGGCTCCAGGGAACCTTTTTATTTTGGGGTACTATAACCCTGTTTCCTTAGATTTACATTTTCGTTAAATTTTTAAAAAAGATTTATTTATTATTCTGCCTGTATGTACACCTGCACACCAGAAGAGGCCACTATAGATGGTTGTGAGCCACCATGTGGTTGCTGGGAATCGAACTCAGGACCTTTGTAAGAACAGACAGTGCCCTTAACCTCTGAGCCATCTCTCCAGCCTCTTTTTAATTTTTTTTTTAATTGGGATTTTGTTTTTCTGGTTTTTCAAGAGAGGGTTTCTCTGTGTAGCCTTGGCTGTCCTGGACTCACTTTGTAGACCAGGCTGGCCTCGAACTCACAGAGATCCACCTGCTTCTGCCTCCCTGAGTGCCAAGGGAGGGAAACATTTAATAGGCATGAAATACACTACACATCAGCACTGGCAATACCAAAGTTGTGGAATTTTTTACTTTTCTAAGAAAAGTTAGTGCTTTTCTTTCTCTGGAGAGACACGGAGCACCAACGAGGCCTAAGTGGAGGCAGTGCAGTGCAGACTTAGGGAACACTAACAGCTAACCAGCTGCTCCCACTTCACCTCTGCAAGGGGCACTGTGAGCTGCTTACAGTTCTGAGTTTCCGCGAAAGTTTTATAAGATAATTCACAGTATGCCAAATTATCCCCCGCTTCTGCATCTACTGAAAATAGGTTTTTTTTTCCCCCTAATTCCTTGGGAAGCATTTCTGCAATAGGTCTTATTTCATCTCCACTGTACATGGGTTATTGGTAAGGAAGATTATCAGCTTTGTGGTTGGCTCCTAATTGATAAAAACCGATCGAAAGCATCAGTGTGTGCTCTATAAGGAAGGGATGCAGGGAAAGGTAGGAAGAGCAGCACTTCCTGTTCACGTCAGCACAAACACCAAAAGCCGCTCGCAGTGCGGGTCGCCCCATACAGTGCCAACATCCTTTTTGCCAGTTTGGCCAACGGAGGTCCACATCCCAGAAAAATCAAGTTCTAATCACAGAAATTAGGACAGAGACGCCATACAACAAGGCACAAGGACATGCTGCTTACAGCTTCTGTCCTTCCATGGCTAGTAGAAGGGAAAAAAATCTAGGAAACGAAGAAACCATGCCTGCCCTTGCAAAGACAGCACTGCAAAAGAGGATCCTGGGAAGACGACAATATCATCCCAGGACACCTGCGACGCGGTCCCGCGAAACACTCGCCCTGCCTCAACACTGTGTTTAAATGACATGTGCTCCTAGACACCCGGCTGTGTCAAGCTGGGCTTCCCCGGGCGGCAACGTGTTCGTTAGAATAGTGGGTCCCAACCTCGTTAACTCGGTGACCCTTTAACAGAGCTCCTCGTGCCGTGCTGACCCCAACCATAAAATTATTTTGTTGCTGCCTCGTAACTAGAATGTTGCTACGGTTATGAATTGTAATGTAAATATTTGGGCGGACGGATTTGCCAAGGGGGGGTCGCAAACCCACAGGCTGAGAATTACTGCTCTAAGGGCGAACAAAACAGCCTGGTCCTGCCGAGCCAGCACTCCCCATTACACTGCCATCTGTGGCTTAACGCTGTAGCAGCGTTACTGATTTGTGCCGGATGTGGCCAAAATCAATACCCAACTCTTCTAATAAAGGTAGCTGGTTTCCAAGGCTGTTTCCACGGGCTGGCTGAGGTGCAGTTAGAGCACAGGGCTGAGCCGGCTGAGCCTGTCTGCTGGGGTAAGTCTGGAGGGGTGTTCAGCCTTGCTTCAAGCAGTCTCGGTGTTCTCCACAGCACAGGGCTGCCGGGACTGCTCATGGTGCTATGCCTTCTCTGGGAGACGTCTGTGGCTGAGCTGTCGAAGCCTCACACTGCAAACAGGCAGAGGAGGAGATGGCAGGCACAGCAGCGGCTGTGGTGCCAGGAGCAGAGGAGGAGATGGCAGGCACAGCAGCGGCTGTGGTGCCAGGAGCCCCCAGCCAGCTTATTTGGTCAGTCACCTGAGTGTGGAGCTCAGAGGACCATTTTTTAGTAGTCAGCTGGCTTCCACCAAGCAGACCCTAGAGAGCGAACTAAGGTCGGAGGCTTGGTGGCAAGCTCCGGCTGAGCTCTAGGGCTGGCCCTAGGTTTATATTCTCTTAAAGCAGATATGTAACACCAAAGTGCTATCGCTTCTATCTCCACCCAGGAGACAGGAAAAACTTTCAAAAGCACTGAACCTGCGATCTGAGACGAGTACAGGTGTGAGCACAGCCACCCAGAAAACCAACACTACCTTTTTTTTTTTAAATTATTTTAAGATTTACTTCTGTTTTATATGTATGAGCGTCTTAGTGTATGTATATATGTCATGTGTGTTCAGTGCCCATGGAGGCCAGAAAAGGGCATGAGATCCTCAGGAACTGGAGTCACAGTTGTGAGCTGCCATGTGGGTGCTTGGAATAGAACCCAGGTCCTCTGCAGGTGTGGTCCGTGATCGTAACTGCTGAGCTACCTTTCCAGCTCCAAGGCTGACATCCAAAAGCACATTTTAGAGAACTCAGATATACATTTCATACATGTAGAAAGTTTTCTAGCAAGATATACAGGATATTGCCGACCCTTTAGTATAAGGGACTAGAAGCTGGACTTCTGCCTTTAATTTTCACCTTTCTGAACTACTGAACCATGAAACTGTACCAAAACAAAGTTTAAAATGCATCACGTTGTTACTTATAAAACAAAACCATATTTATCTGTCAACTGCATCAAAGAGTTGTCCCAATTCTGTATGAAGTGGAGTATGAAAGCCAACTCATGAATATGAAATGTACCAACTATGGAATCCCTCTGCCGCAGCTGCTGGTGTCTGAGCAACTGTCACATGACTTTAAAACATGTCTCTTTTGAGAGTTACTGCTTTACTTTTTCCATCAGCAAATATTACACAAAATAAAACCAAAAACTAGAAAGAAAAAAAAAAGCACAGTGGAAACAACAAAATCACCATCCAAATGCAATCAGCTGTCCCCACCCACCTTCATAACCGGGACTGCCTGGAGTCTGAACCCAGAGTCCAAACCTGAATTTCTGATCTGTCCCCAGAAAGATTCAGCCCTCATCAGAGAGGCTTCTCCTGGCAGTGGGTGGCAATGAGCACAAAGACCCACAACTGATCAACTTGCAGAGAATATGAGACCTCAGAGAGCTCAGCCCTGACTGGGCCATCCCTCTCACATTCTATGTGGAGAGGGGACCAAAGATATTAAGAGCCGGAGGTGGTGGATGGCTGCAAGGGAACAGTGTTTCCAGATGCATCAGGGCAGGGGCAGACAGGAACTCACAGACACCAGGACAGTGTGCACAAGACCAGGGCAAGCGCGCTCCAGACAGTCCCCGCTTGGAGGAGGAGTGGATGCTGAGGCCCACCACCAGCTGAGGAGCCGCTGCCATGGCTGTGGAGAGGGGGAGAGTCAGTTTTCTTCAGAGCAGTGACACACAGTGTCCTGATCATATTCCCAGGCGGGCCTCAGGCTCAGCTGTGGTCGGCCAACACAAAGTGGCCTCAAGGTGACAGAGCGAGACAGACACCCAGAATATGAAGCTGGGTAAGCAGGAAGGTGGGGAGGATCTGGGAGGAACTGAGGTAAGGGGTGAACATGATCTAAATGTTTCATGGAACTCTCAAAGAATACATTTCCAACAAAACAAAGGCAGACAAGCACAACACTCTAGTGATCGGTTTTTCATTACTTTTTAAAATGCACCAGTGAAATACAACATGCTTTTGAGGAGCAGAAATGAAGCTCTCGACACTTACAGTTGCTTGGGAGTCTTGCTTTTGAGTAACTCCTGGACCAGAAAAGTACCGAAGGCAAATGACGGGCGTCCGTGATGTAAGTAATATGCGTAATTCAGTCGTTCCACCACTGCGTACTTACTCACCAGGTCAGGGCTGGAGAAGTGCGGGAGCTGACTGGCTGTATCTGTGGAAAAGGCAAAGCGTTACACTCCATCACTTCAGAACCATGCGAGGCTTAGCTCTTCCATGGCAAAACTGCCTGCTGTAATAATTCTGTACATTGTACAAGGCATATATAAAAATTTCAATTTATAAAACAAATTCACTCGAAAATTCATTTAAAAAAAATTTTTTTTATTGCTGGCGGATATGGCTCAGTACTAGAGCGCTTGGCCAGAAAATTCATTTTAGGTTGTCAATACATTTGAACACATCTACTATGCGACAGACATTCTTGGGGTACTCCCAGGAGCACAGACAGTATGAATTTCACATTACAAGCTTGGAGATAGAGGCATCATAGGAGATATTGAACCCTGACCCTAAACTCTGAAAGCTGAGTGCTTAAAATGGCACAAAACTTGGAAGTTTTCTTATGTCTTATGGAGGGTGCAGTGCGTGTGGACCTGGTATCCGATAAATGAGAGCTTTAAAACACAGCCTTCAGGCTGAGGCTGCAGCTTGGGTGCTGCCGTGCTTACCTCACATGCCAAAGCCCTGGATTTGCTCCCAGAGCCACAGAGGCCAGGTGTGGTGGAAAACCTGTGTAATCCCAACCTTAGGAGGTACAGGCTGGAGGATCAGATATCCAAGGCCAATCTGAACTATGCAGCAAGTTCGAGACCAGCCTGGGCTTACGAGACTCTGTCTCAAAAACAGATCAACCAACCAATCAAAACTACCCAGTCTTCTTTCTTACAGTGACACAGGAGAGGGACCATATTATTAGCCTTATTTTAAAGAAGCTGAAAAAAGGTTAAAACATATGCTCAAAGTCAAATAGTCATTACAAGGTCCAGCCATAATTTACTGACCTTCAACAACATTTAAAACTCAGGATGTTATGTTTCAAACAGGGGATTCTAGCTGGGCATTGTGGTGCACACCTGTAATCCCAGCATTCAAGAGGCAGAAGCAGGTGGATCGCTGTGAGTTTGAGGCCAGCCTGGCCTACAAATTAAGTCCAGAACAGCCAAGGCTACACAGAGAAACCCTGTCTCAAAAAAGAAAAACAAAAACAAAGATGGGATTCTGAGAAGGCAGAGCTATGGAGAGGCACATAGCTGCTCCCTAGCATGCGCAGTCCTAGAAACGCAACAGACTTTCAGCTTACATGTTCTCGACTAGTTTCCAGCAAAGTCTTCCACTGGGAAGTACTTTACAGTATAAACACTGGGGAGAAGAGGGGATTCACTTTGTACATACAAACTTCTACTCTCAGGATGGCCTCAGTGTTTCCAAAGCAAACCCATGACTCACCTCCTATTGCTAGTGTGTTGGCAGACTGCCAGCCGAACAATCTGCTGGGATCAAAGGGCGGCAGGGACTGAAAAAGAAGAGAAGTCAACCAGACTCAAAAGCTTACTGACCCTAAAACAAGTAAACAAGATGATAGACACCCCTCCAGGGATGACTCAATTCTTAGAACGTTGGTAGAACGTTTGCCAGCACATGCGAGGCCCTAACTTTGATCCCCAGAACCAAATACAATTAAATGTAAATTCTTCGAGCATAGCCAAAACAAAAACAAAAACAAAAACAAATACAAACAGAAGAGAACATGACACAGCTCCTAAGGACCATCACTCAAAATTGACCTCTGACCTCCACAGATACAGGCACACGTGTGTACCCGCACACACATGGAGAGCCACATGAACAGAAAAGTGTGCACATACAGAGCTACCTGGGTGCCAGGCATAGTGGCACCTGCCAGTAGTCCCAGCATCCAGGAGGCTAAGGCAAGAGGACCACCTGAGCTCAGGTCTTAGAGGTCAGACTGGAACACAGCAAGATGCTGCTTTAAAGGAAACACAGTCAGGTATGATGCACAGCAGTCTTCCCAGCATGGGGGCAGAAGAAAAGGGAGAATCAGGAGTTCAAGGCCATCCTAGACTACACAGTGAGATTGAGGGCTACGTGAGACCTTGTCTCAAAAAAAGAAACAAAATAAAATTATAAGTCAAGTTGAGAAGAGAACAAAGAATGGCTTGAAATGGTTTATGTCTAAAGTTGATGCAAACGCTACAGAGGCAAGGAACTCTCTGTACCTTTGATCCTAGCACTTGAGACACTGAGACAGGAGGATCACTGCATTGAACCAAATCTGGGCAAAGCGCTGCGGCAGAGGCTCACGCAGTTTACTCCAGTGCTGCTCTGCATGGCAGAAACCCGGGCTCCACAATGTGAAGCCAGCATGAGGCTGTCTGCTTCAGGAATCCATCTTTTAAGGCTTTGTGTGTGTGAACGTTGTGCCTGCATGTATATCTGGGCACCACTTGTGTGTATGGCACCGGGGGAGGCCAGAAGGGAGCAGCGGAGCCCTCGGAATTGGTGTTACAGATGGTTGTGAGCTGCCATGTGGGTGATGTGAATCAAAGCCAGGTCCTCTGGGGGACAGCTGCTCTCACCCACTGAGCCACGTCCAGCCCCATTCTCTCAGAAATTCTTCTAGGAAACACAGCTGGAGGGCACACTAGGTGACATGACAGACTTGCCCTCTAGCACAGCCTGCTCATTTCATGGCATTCCAGAAAAAAGCAGTTCTGGCTCGTCTGTGGACCACTCTTGCAAGCACCATTGGTCCACCCCCAAAGCTCGTCATGTTAGAGTAGGGTGGATTTTGTATCTCTGAAGAACAACAGAAATAGCTGGTTGGTGGTGGCAATGCCGTTAATCCCGGCACTCAGGGAGGCAGAGGGAGGTGGATCTCTGTGAGTTCAAGACCAGCCTGGTCTACAGAGTGAGATCCAGGATAGCCAGGGCTACACAGAGAAGCCATGTCTCAAAAAACCAAAAAAAGAGAAAAGAACAGAACAGAATTTCTGTTGGATTGAAAATACTATGAACATATGTAATGAAGAAAGCCTGCTGAACATAGGCATGGACAAAAGATGCTTCTACTCCACACCTGAATAGGCTTCAGAGGGTCTACAAATCCCTTTGAAATAGAAGCAAGACTACAGGCGTCCATGTAATCCTTCTAGGCATAGCTCATCGCTCCATTCTTCTTTGCCCCAATCCTGAGTGTCCACTGTCTAAAGCAGGTCGGGTTTTCTGTCTTCCTGGCAAGGCCCTGGCTGGTACACATAAGGACCAGCCCCCTAAATGCAGTACCTGAATGAGGTGGTAGAGTGTGATATCAGAGGGTAGAACACTAGGAGCGGTGCACTGTGGGAAGAGGGCGGCTTTGAGCTTTGGGTAGGGCGTCAAGGCCATCTTCAGTAGCTGGGGATCCACTTTCTTCAAACAGTTCTCACTTTCTTCCTTCTGAATGACCTGTGCGAGAAGACGCATGCCAGCGGTGAAGGGATGTTTACATGACAGCACATATTTTGAGATACTACACATATTTTGAAAACTAGCCCCTACAGGAGACCGGCATAGTGATCACCTGTTCGAGGACCGAATAGCTGTCTGACTCTGTACTGGTGTTTAACACGAAGCCTCAGTTTCCTGCGGGGTTAAGAAGAGGAGCTACATTGGTTGTTTTCAAGCCCTATGTTGTTTGAAGAAAAGCCATCACTACTCTAATGCTTATAGTATTTCTATTGAACATTCATTAATATCTTAAAAGACCTAAACAACAACAACAACAACAAAACAAACCTATTAAGGCTGTCATGGTGGTACATGCATAAAAATCCCAGCACTTGGGAGGCCGAGGCAGGACAGTCACTAAGAACTCAAGACCAGCCTGGGTTACACAGAGACTTTGTGGACCAGCTTGGACTATACAGTGAACCTGCCTCAAAAACTAAATAAAGTAGCCGGGTGGGGCTGCTTTAACCCAGCATTCTGGACGCAGAAGCAGGTGGATCTCTGTGAATTTGAGGCCAGTCTGGTTTACATACTGCGTTCCAGGACAACCAGAGCTACACAGCGAGACCCTGTCTCAAAAAACCAAATTAAAAAAACAAATCAATACTATCAAGCAGCTGATTCCTGGGTCCTTTCTTCTGATCTGTAGTATTCTCTGACTAGTTTCTGGCAGGTGATTAAAAGCAGGCGTAAGTGGCTTAGACATGTGAATATCATGCTGTCATCTAAGGGGTAATTACCACCAGGAAGAGACTCCTGAGGGAGAGACACCCGGCAGTATTCTCTCCCTCCACCCGGCCACACTGTCCCTTTAGAAGGAAGAGAAGCATGCACAAATGTAGTACCGCAAAGGAGTTTACAGGGAAAGCTCAAAACTGTGCTTTAAAATAAACGTTCTTAGAAGGGTAAATAGCAGAGCTGTACCGCAAGCCACAGATCTAACCTACATTTACTGCCAGCAGTAACCAGATCCCCATTCTGTCCTGGAGTTATAGAAAACACACCAAAGGGACAAAGAATCTCTGTTCACGCCTTAATTCCGCTTCAGCTCAGCACACAGCATTGTGAAATTCGTCTGTTATGGTCACTGATCTAACAGGATACTTGGAAGCAGTCATACTTCAGCACGGACTGCCGTTTAGACAGTTCCTGTTCTCCGTCTGAGTTTAAAACCAACCCTATTTAGCCACCGCCGGTTCAAACACCGTCCGTACCTGGCTGACGCCCCCGGGGGCGTACATGGTAGTAGCCAGCGCCAGGAGGGTGTGCCCTTCCAACAGCATGCTGCTCACACTGGCCTGGTTGGTGGGAATCAAGATCTGAGCATTTGCAAGGCTGGCCTGGAAGATCAGCTTGGGATCTGAAAATAAAGGGGATAATTACTAAGTTAAGAGACATATCCTCCTGAGAGAGAAAACTGTAATTCTAGCCACAGTCAAAGGTACTTCCTAAGTTTAAACGCAGCAAGAAGACAGGCGGTGGGGGCAGGGCCAATGCACCTTCATAAAGAGTTCATACAAAGAAAATGTGGCGGTGTTAATGAATCAGGGGAAGAATCAGCAAATGGCACTCTAAAGGAATAATACCCTACGGACAGAAAATAAACAGTCAACAGAAGAAGCGGAAATGCTAAGCCCATGCACATGCAGCAGGGGGAACTGAATCAGCAGTGATTTAAAAAAAAAATTCACAGGCACAGTGGCGCGCTCCTATAGTCCCAGAGACTGTCGGACAGCAGTGAGTTCAAGGACAGCCTGGTCTACAAAGTAAGCTCCAGGAGAGCCAGGGCTACACAGAGAAACCCTGTCTCAAAAAAAAAAAAAAAAAAAAAAAAATCTAGGGTCACTGTTCTTTGGTCAGCGTGACCAGGACCCCGGGCAAAGGTACAACCTCACTGAACAGCAATGTGGCTGACGGTAAAACCTTCAACAGCCTTTGACTCAGCACGAATATATGTGGGGACCTGTGTTACTCATTTATGTAAAACAAAGGCAACAATTTTATGTCATGATATATTCAAGACTATTATTTATAATAGGGAAAAAATGCAAAGACAAGCTTGTTGTCAAAAAATGAGAGATTAGTAAGTTAGGTGGGGGCCTAGTTACTACGTGAGATCTTGTACCAGCATTGATCACTGCCTCTAAGAATGCAGAAAAAAAAATCGTTTTTGTGTGTGTGTGTGTGTGTATGTGTGTTTTCTTTCTTTTTGGTTCTTTGAGACAGGGTTTCTCTGTGTAGGCTTGGCTGTCCTGGACTCGGATTTGTAGACCAGGCTGGCTCTGAACTCACAGAGACCCGCCTGCCCCCACCTCCCTGAGTGCTGGGATTAAAGGCGCGTGCCAGCCTGGCCAGCTAGGGAAAGCCTTATTACACAAAGGCAGTTACAAAACACAGACATTTCCCGTACGCCTACACAATGACACCTGCCGGAGAACTGCATGAGAGGAGTCAGTCATGAACAGAAAGCAGAAAGAAAGCGGAAAGCAACGTGGCCCCTCTGGACCGTCACACAGAGCCCAGGCTGGGTCTACCTTATTGAGACTTGCAGGTGGCTTCCTTTTATTTTGTGTTTGACACAGGGTCTCAGTAGACAAACCTAGCTGGCCTGGAACTCACAGAGCTCTGTTTACTGCTGCCTCCTGTGTGCAAGGGTTAAAGGTGTAGACCACCCCCACCCACCCAGCAAAACTGGGCACCATAGAAAAGCCTGGTTGCTGATATTGCTTTATGTATATACAGTCGCATTCCCTATGCCTTTCCCCAGAGTGTGGGCGACACGCCTAGTTAGAATTCCTGGGGTGAAAGGCCTTTCTTGCCTAGTTATAACCTAAGCAGTTGTTTTAGCAGCTCCCTCCAAGGACATAACACAATTTCTCTTCCTTTCATTTGAAGTTCCAAAATGAAAGATGGACGAGCTCCTGGAACCCACCTAGAAGGGGGAGGAGAGAAAGAAGGAAGGAGAAAGAAGGGGAGAAGGAAGAAGAAAAGAAAGGAGAGGGGGAGACAGAGAAAGGAAGGGAAGAGGGAAGAAGAGAAGGAAGGAAAGAATCTTAGCAGGGATTTAGAAGGCAGATCAATTCTTTGTGAAAAGGGGGTGTCAATCTACCAAAGCAGGAAGGGAGACTGTGAAGGCCACCAGGATGACAGAGCAGGAAGCAAAGGGGATTTCACCACATAAGCTCTGGGTTCCAATTCTGACTTTTCTTGTCAGGAGAGAGGCTAACATTTTTTGGTTTTCTATTCCATTAGAAAAGAGTGAGCCTGCCTCACAGTCAGGTACTTGACTACAGCCGAAGGACTTACTTAGAGAGTTCCCGAGTTAATGCCATTCAGTAGATTCACTGTTTACCTGGAGAAAATTGGTGTATTTAATACTGAACACAATACCTGTTAAGTTACTGGAAACTTGCCGGCACTGAACCAAAAATTCAAGCCAAGGGTGAGCTTCATGGAGTTCTTTCTTTTTCAAAAAAGGACAATTTCCAGGACTAAGTCTATATTTAAAAACAAACAAACACCTTTGGATTAGCACATGGGCCATGGCTGTCTGAGTATGACTGCTCACATTCGCAGCATTAGGAAAGCAATCTTGGTATAGGACTCCAAGGTAGCACAGGCACCCTAGGCTAGCCTGGGTCACATAGCAAAAGCCTTTCTCGAAAAAAAACCCCTAAAAATTAGCTGGCTCTGTCCCTCACTGTAGAACACCTGCTTGGTATGACAAGGCCTTTGATCGGATTCCAGCAATGCCAAAAAAGAACACCTGTAGTCTCAGTGCTCACGGGGCTAAGGCAGGAGAATTGCTTTAAGTTCAAGTGCATCCTGAGCTACACAGTAAGACAAACACTTGCCACCCCCACCATGGGTATTTACACACACACGTAGATAGATTTATTGATTGATTGATTGATTGATTGATTGATTGATTTATGTGGGGGGGTGTATGTACATGTTGATACTGAATGTTGCCCTCAGCCGCTGTCCATCTACTTTTTCAGGTAAGATTGCTCATTGAACCTCAGACTTGTTGGTGGACTAGAGCTGGCCAACAGGCTTCAGAGAATCCATCTCTACCTCACTGCCCTAGAGCTGAGGTTTCAGACCACATATAGACTCTGTGTGTGTGTGTGTGTGTGTGTGTGTGTGTAGATAGAGACTTCATCTAATGCTATTGTTACTGATCCAATGACAATTAGCAATGGCCACACACAAGATTCTACAGCTTGCTCTTAGGTGAACGTATGCTGATCCACATATATTTATCTATATAAATCTAAGTGTTTAAGTTAATCCATTTTATAGTGATTATGGAATTTAAGTGCTTTTTTGTTTTGTTCTTTTTAGAATTCTCTTAAAAGAATCAAGAATTCTAAGGGAATGCTAAAATCTCTCTTTTAACTTTTTAAAACAAACATGCTGTTCCTTTATTTATTTATTTATTTTTGTTTTTTTTTTGTTGTTGTTGTTATTGTTTAGTTTTTAGGTTTTTTGAGGCAGGCTTTCTCTGTGTAGCCTTGGCTCTATTGGACTCAGGCTGGCCTCAAACTCACAGAGATCCACCTGTCTCTGCCTCCCCAAGTGCTGGGATTACAGGGGTGTGTCATCACACCCAGCTTCATTCTATTTTTTTTTTCCGTGCAAGGCTGGTGAGTGGATCCATGGCCTTGCACATGACAGGCAAAGGCTTTGCCGCTGGGAGGCATCCCAGACACATCGTTTCTAAGAAGATGCTCCATGAAATCGTTATCATTAAAGCCCACACTTGTCTTTAGTTGAACATAACCCTTCGACAACAGCTGTACCAGCTGCTGCAGTAAAAGGATCAGTTTCCCAATCCTTCATGTTTTCTCAAAGCAGTTCAGGGGCCAAACATGGTTAACTGATGCCTTTAATACCAGAATTTAGAAGGCAAAGTAGGCCTCTGTGAGATTGTGGCCAACTGCACGGTGAGTTCCGGGGCCACCTGGTAAGACTCTGTCTTAAAAACAAACAGAAACGCAGTGGTTCCTGTAGGCAGGGACCTGGCACACAGCTGCAAGCCCAGCACGTGGGCAGCAGGACAGAGGGTCAAGAGTTCAAGCTTGTCTTAAGGCCCTGTGTCAAGCCTCTACTCACCCCAAACACAGCTCTCGGTACTCACCTGTAGTAGTCGAGATAGAGGTAGAGCAGATGCTGTAGGCCGTGCTCCACACAGTAGGCGATGAGGCGGGAGTGAAAGTCCCACCCTTCCGGGGACCTGTAGCTTTGCATGGGGAGGCTGTCTTGCATCACACCCCCGATCCGGCTCAGCCTCAGGAGGAAGAGTTCAAAGTCTTCTAGCTCAGATGGCAGAAAAACCCCACTTCTGTTTGAGAGAGGAGAAGTTAAAGTTTGAGGTTCAAGTCAGACACGCTTCCACAAAAACTGGTCAGAAGCCCCAGCAGTCAACACACCAACCACCGACCACAGATAGAAGTCTGCACTTAGGGTGCTACTTTCTGTAAGTTACTTCGGAATGCATAATTGCCACACAAAAAAGAGCATGAAAAACACATAGAGCTAAAAGAAACACCACATTAGGGCCAGAACGATGGCTTGGTGGTTAAAGCACAGGCTACTTTTCGGGAGTACTTGGGTCCAATTCTTTTTTTGTTTTTTAAATTAATTTATTCATTTCACATCCTGATCATAGCCCACTCCCTCGTCTCCTCCCAGTCCCATCCTCCCTCTTCCTCCCTATCCCTGTCCCCTACGGCCTCGCCAGGCGGCAGAGGAAGAAGATGCAGGCAGTCCTGAAGAGACTTGATAGTCTGGGGTCAGTTGGTAAGGGAAGAGGGCTTCCCCTTTCTGGGTTCAATTCTGAACACCCATATGGTGGCTCACAACTGCCTGCAACTCCAGTTCTGATGCCCCCTTCTGGGCTCCACGAACACCAGAAACACATGTGGTACACAGATACACATGAAGGCAGAACACTCATGTACATGAAATAAAAATAAATTAATCTTTTGTGGTAACTATTTTAATTCTTATTCATAGTTTTATAACTATAATCAACCTTAAATAACATATGGTTTGATTTTGTTGACTTTGAACTTTATTTACACTAAACAAATGAAGTGCTGGGAATGTATATTATTCTCTACTTCTTTATTTGATATTGGTCATTCATCCATGGTGACACCCACAGCAATATCCTTCATGGTGATGTAGAATGCTGTTGTATGATTGTTTTACATTTTGTTGTACATTTGTGGGTCATTTCAGCTGTTCCTAGATTTTGGAAAAAATAAATTCATTTTTCCATGACTACAAATGAGAAAGAGCTGGACACTGGCAGTGCATGCCTTTAATCCCAGCACTCGGGAGGCAGAGGCAGGCAGATCTCTTTGAGTTCAAAGCCAGCCTGGCCTACAATGTGAGTTCCAGGACAGCCAGGGCTACACAGAGGAACCCTATCTTGAAAAACAAAACAAAACAAAACAAAACAAAATAAAACAAATAAACAGACCAAATGAGAAAGAAATCTTTTCCTGTGTTTACTGGCTGTGTTTATGTAGTTATTATTGCTGGGATGAAACACCATTATCAAAGCAAGTTGGGAAGGAATGGTTTATTTGGTTTACACTTTCACATCTTAGTCCATCATTGAGGGAAGCCAGGACAGGAACTCAAACAGGGCAGGAACCTGGAGGCAGGAGCTGGTGCAGAGGCCCTGGAGGAGTGCTGCTTACTGGCTCACTCCTCATGGCCTGCTCAGAGTTGGCAATGTGGGCTGGGTATGCCCCAATCAATCACTGCCTAAGAGAATGCCCTCCGTGTCTGCCCACAGCCCAATCTTAAGGTGGCCTTTTCTCAACTGGGTTCCCTCCTCTCAGATGATGTGCTAGCCAGTCTGACGTCAACTTGACAAACAAGCTGGAGTTGAAGAAGGGAACTTCAATAGGGAAGATGCCTCCATAAGATCCAGCTGTAAGGTATTTTCCTCATTAGTGATTGATAGGGGAGGACCTAGCCCACTGTGAGGGATTCCATCCCATTGGGAGGAGGTTTGTTTTCCAAATGTCTCAGGAAGCAGGGCAGGAGAGCCAAAACCAAGAAACCCTGAGTGAGAGCGGTAGGCCAGCTTATAGTCTCCTATGGCAGAGCCAGGCTAGCTCTGTCCCCTCTTCCTGACTCTTCTCTCTGGTGGTCCTGGGGTCTACAAGAAAGGCTGGGCAAGCCACCGGAAGCAAGCCAGTAAGTAGCTTGTCCAGGAAGTGATTTTTCCAGTCAGGAGAGAAGAATTGGAGGGGACAGGGCTAGCCCAGCTCTGCAACAGGAGACTGCGAGCTGGCCAGACACCCCTCACTGCAGGCCCTGCCAAGCAGTTCTCTCCCCTGCTGCCTGAGCTTCCTCCCAGGGTCCCGGAACTACAGCCTCTTCCAGGCTCTTAGGCATTTATTTATATCTGACATTTAGGTTTCATATCTATCCAGAAGGGCTTCAATGCGCGCGGTCACTTCTCCCCAGATACCTGCTCACTTATCACCATGTGACTCACCGGAAAGACCACTTTCTCACGCTCTGCAGAGCCACTCTTGCCTACGGGCTGATCACACGTGTCCAGCTCTATTTCTACCCTCACCCTTCTGTCTTTCCTACTGATTCCACCACTGCAGATTTAAAGTAAACCTTGCTGTCTTTAGGGCACGTTTTTCCTGGGGGCTCACGATTCACATCGCATACATGCATTTAAAATCAGATTGTGCCAATCCATAGAGAAAGCCAAACCGAGACCTGCTGGGATTGCTACAGAGGCCACAGTGTGGCCAAAGAGCACTTTAAGAGGGACTGACTGCTGGCTTCTCTTGTTACAAATCTGTTTTTCACAATGTTGGCCAGAGTGATTATTTTTAGACTCCAATGTTTTAGGCTAAGGAATTTTGCATTTATGCTTAGATTGCTGATCTTTCTTTCTTTTCTTTCTCTTCCTTTCTTTCCTTTCTCTTAGAACTCACTATGTAAACCAGGCTAGCCTCGAGATTTACTTGCCTTTGCCTCCAGAGTGCTGAGATTAAAGACGTGTTCTACCGGGCCCAGCATAAATTAATTTCTCAATTTATATTAAACCAGATACATTTGTTTTTTAAACGACTAAATGCTAAGGCATTTTTTCCCCCCCGAGACAGGGTTTTTTTCTGTGTAGCAGCCCTGGTTGGCCTGGAACTCACTCTGTAGACCTGTAGGCTGGCCTCAAATTCACAGAGGTCTGCCTGCTTCTTCCTCCAGAGTGCTGGGGTTAAAGGCTTGGGCTAGTGCCACCATCACCACCACCGCCACCACCTCCGCCCGTTACGGCAAATATTTTGATCATACAAATTCTACAATATTTTATTTTTAGTAACTAAGAAGAGCATCAACACAATGAGAAGTGCAGAGACCAGAAAACCAGATGTTAAAGGACCCCATCCTGTACATGAGAGGCTTAGGCAATGCTCTTCAGTTCCCTGGATCCAACTCTCTCATGCACACTGTGAGGAAAGCAGGGCGGGGGGTGTATCCCGCCAAGCACAACTGGAGAGTAACAGTGGAAGAAACACAGTGATGTGCGCACCTAGCTTTCCTCATTGGAAGACAGATTAGATCGCGCCACATAACACGTGATGTTCAACCACCGAGCAAGCTCCAGGCTGACCTGGGCTAACTTCTCCAAAGTGTGTCTCAGTGTGTCACAGCAAACAAACAGGAGGCACTGAAAGTTGCAGGGAGAGCCTCCACGTGGAATTTGAGAATTCCACCCGTGATATTAAAGGCAGATGATTTAAAACAACAGCTTCAAACAATACCCTTTAAATGTTACGTTATGAAGTCGCACGACACTGAAGTTATGGCAACTTGGAAAAAAAAACCGCATGTGTGGTTCGCACACCTTGAACGTGGCCTGGGACCTGCAGGCACCGGAGAAGCAGTCTTCCCTTCCTTTTATTCCCCCGCCTACCGTAATCCTGCAGTACAGTACCTGGCCAGCTTGTTCAAAATCTCATTCCGCATGTAACTGTTGCAGCGAGTGTTCTGATCAATGACGTCAGCACTCAGAGGGGGCCACTTCTGCTGAGGTGACCCGGGTCCCTGGGTCTGAAATGCTTCCATCCACAAGCTAATGCTGGACCAGTCATGGCGAGCCGTGAGGTGTCGCCAGAGGGCTTCTGGGGAACGTGCTTTGTATTCTACATGAAGAGCAAAACCCCTTTTAGCATGGCGGTGAATTATGATCACTGACTTGTACTTCAATTCAGAACTGTTCCTGACTACTTCTGTTCATCTGACATGCGATTTATTCAAGCCCTCTACTTCTTTTACAGTTTTCTTATTTTGCTTTGTTCATTTTATAATTGATACTACAGATGGGAAGCCTGAAGGAAGTGTTTCTCACTATAAATGAAGTGGGCACTGGGACTTGACAACTCTCTTCTCTGCAAGGTAAGAAACTTAGGCTGCAACAGTAAACAAGAATTTGATGCTATGACTTATCACTGCTCACCCTGTTAGCTATGCCCCAGAACCTCGTGTGATACTAACCCCTAATTTCCATAAGGAACTCAGAAACTGTTTGGAAACACAGACTGTCATTGTGAGGCCAGAATGACAACCTTTAGCTTTGACAACATCCATTCATTGAACCTCATAATCTTTTTTTTTTTCAGCACTACACCATAAATCGGTTACAAAACTTTACACGCGAGAGGTCTTAATGCAATGACTGAATTTTAAAGAAAGTGAATCTCCCCCACAAAGGAATCCTAAAGTAGAGCTCCCCAAATATTAAAATATTGATGCCTAACTTGGTCCCCACTTAATATGCTCATATTTCTCACCCTTTTGTACTTGCCTTCTGGACTTATCCTGGGGAGAAGGATATGTTCCTGTGTTTGCTGATCCCACCAGTGAGCCCAATTCAATGCAATTCTATGGTCCTGTTTGTTAAACTCATCTTTTTGATGACGTTTGAGGAATGTGTCCAATACAGATTTGTGCTTGAAACAGTCCTGTTCCTTTATCCAATACCTAAAAACAGTAACCATAGACATATATGGACACACGTACATGCATTTTGAAGAAAAAGCCATTTCTTTTTATCTGTTGAGGGTGGAGTATAATTGTTATTACAAGTGCTGAAGTGACAGGACATTTCTGATGCTCTTCTTTAAGATACAAATTTTACCTTGCTGAGGACAATCTTAGTTCCATAATCGCTACAAATGGAGTGTGAGCCACGGTCCTCTTCCATGATCAGCCAAGGGACTAATGAGCCTACCTGGGGAAGGACTGCGGCTGCACGTTTTCCTGGAAGTGTCCTGAATAAAGCTTTTCAACTTGATGAACAAAGTCTATCGTTCTTCTCTCTTTTTCAGAAAAACATTCTTTTTCTTTTAAAATTTCGACCTTGAATTAAAAAAAAAAAAAATTAGAGCAATGGCTACACAAAAATCAAGAACATTAGCGAAACAAAAGACATGAAATTAAATGCCACTTAATAACTGTATTCCGGATTGGAGAAGCTCATGGATAAAGTGCTTGATTAGCATGCCTCAGGCCGTGGGCTTGCTTGATCTACAGCATCACAAAGAAAGCCTGGGGAGAGGGGAAGGGAAAGGAAGGGAAGGAGGGAAAAAAGGAGGGAAAGGAGGAAGGGGAAACTGTATTCTGCACTAAATTTTTTTATTCTGTTATTTATTTTGTGGGTGCACCGTGTGTGTGTGTGTGTGTGTGTGTGTAGCAGTCAGAGGACAGCTTGATGCGGTTGGTTCTCTCCATCTACCATGTGGGTTCTCTCCATCTACCATGTGGGTCCCAGGGGTAGAGCTCAGGCTTTCAGGCTTGGCAATAGGAGCCTTTATCTGCTGAGTCACCTTTCCAACCTTGTAATCTGCATTTTTTACATTAATATATATTCACATAAATCTTCCTTTACAATAATGTAAAATGGCAAAACAGTCACAATCATTAAAAAATGGATTGTGCCAGGCATGATGGCACAGGTAATCCTAGCACTTGGGAGGCAGAGGCAGATGGATCTCTGTGAGTTCTAGGCCAGCTGGTCTACAATGGTGAGTTCCCGGACAGCTAAGACTATTAAACAGAGAAACCCTGTTTCAAAAAACAAAAACAAACAAGGATTGTCGAGTTTATTTATGTATTCCTTAGATACTAAAATTATTCATTTTAAAGTTAAAAAACTCATCGAAGTGGTCTAATAAAAGTGAAAGCCGCAGCCAGGTGAGCCTGTAATTCTAGCATCCTGGGTGAGGTGCCAGGACAGGAGCCGAGAGACCAGCTTGGACTACACACCAAGATTCTGTCTCAAATGAAAATCAGAAGCCACGTAATTTTGCCTTTACTTACCAAAAAGTCCCGTAGATTCTTATCAGTTGTAAAAAAGCATATTTTGAGCAACTCATTTTCCACATTGAAGCCCTAAAAGAAAAAAAAAATTTTAAAGCTGCATTTGTAACAAACCTATTTGAACATAAATATGTTGGATGCAGAAATGACAGAAAGGCACACCCACTTCTACTCTTGGGAATATTTATTTTCTACATCAGTTGTATGTATTGATTGCTTGTCCCCAAAGCCCTTAATTGTTTTTCCAGAGCAAAGGCAACACACAGAACCAAGATGAGGTTACACCAGGCAACCAGAGGACCAAGATGACAACAAAGTGCTATTCTGGTTTACTTGACACCAAAGGCTGACAGAGACAACAAAGACCTCTTCGTTTTCAGAGTCACCCTGGGCAAGACTGCAGCCACACAGATAAGGACCAGACCTTAACCGAGCCCCGGGGCTCTGCTTCTAGACTTCCCTTCTCCAGCAAGGCCCTCAGCCAGGGCATGAGGGCATAATCCAGGGATGATCAAATGCAGAGGCAAGGGTCCCGTGAAGAATTTAGAACGTCCTCCAGTAAGCCTCAGGCCCATGCATGGCACATGTGGAGTCTTCTATGAAAAGCACTCCCTGTCTTGGGGTGTAGGGGTGAATGTATGTAGTCCAAGCACTTGAGAGGCTGAGGCAGGAGGACAGTGAATTCAAGGCCAGTCTGGGCTACACAGGGAGACCATGCCTCAAAACAAAAACAAGAGATGCCAGGTGTGGTGGCTCTTGCCTGTAATCCCAACACTATGAAGCTGAGGCAGGAGGATCACAAATGAGTCTAAGGCCAGCCAGGGCTATAGAGTGAGTTCTAGGTCATCCTGGCCTCCAGAGAGGATGAGAGACAAATAGATTATCACTACTCACCATGTTCCTCAAGAGTATGGAGGCCTCCTCTACGTTCTTCTTCTTTAAACTGTCAAATGCCAAATCTAGGCCTATCCTAACCAGCTCCTCCAGTCGTTGGGCAGAATGACTAGTAATCCTGAAGAAAGTTTGTGCCTCTGGTATCCTGTTATTTAAAATGGCATCAGCAACAACTTCCTAGGAAAAAGAAGAAAAATGTAAGTTTAAGCTCATTTCAGTTTTCTTATTATGATTATCAATACAGAATGTCTATATACATTAGCTAGCTACCCACTGAGGGGTCTTTGATGGAAAAGCTACTTCTCGGCAACGTGTGGGAGACACACTGAAGCAGAACGGTCAACAGCCCAGGACCCCACAACCACAGAAGACACAGAGAAAGCCCGGTTACTGGGCTCTCACTGCTCTCACTGCTGCTGAGAGCTGTGCTAGCAGCCACAGAGGGCACAGACAGAAGGCATCAAAATAAGAGTGACCACAAGGGCACGTGGCTTAGCAGAGATGATTGATCAGAAGACAGGGATTCCAAAAGGAGGGGACACAAAGCAAAAAATACTCCGGCAAGCCTCCAGGCTCCACATCACTCAGTATAATGAAGCAACAGACAGAACTCGAAAGAAAAGGCAACTCTGTCAAGAGCCTGTGTAGTGAGGCACACTCTGTCCTCAGTCTTACCTGGAACTACTAGAGTTTAACAGCAAGGGGCCATATTTCTTATCCCCACACACTCACTTTAAGAATTAGCATGGGATGGACTGAAAGGTCAAGGATTTATTTACTGATGGTCAAAATAATGAGGTGTAGGAAGGTTGCTGCAAAAGAGACTAAAGTGAAGGTCTGAACCCCGAGAGAACAGAATGGAGACATTCTTAATGGAGGCCTTAATGGCACCTGTAAATCACCTGTTAGCCATGGGCAAAACTGTGTGGGCACATGCAGACATGCACACACACAAGGGCTCTGGAGACAGAGTTCACAGCTTACAGCACAGTGAACTGTAATCCCTGTACACACACACACACACACACACACACACACACACACACACACACACGGGTGGGAGGGAGAGGAAGAGGGAGAAAGAGAAAGAGCCAGAGCGAGAGTTAAAAATCAGTGATTTTGAGAAAGAAGAACCAAGGACTGCTGACTCTAGAAAAGGCTAAAGGGAGGAACGCAGGAAGACAGCAGCCAAAAGTCAGCAGGAAAAGTGAGCCTCTGGGGAGAGGATGGGTAAGAGAACTAGGAAAATCAGTCACCCAGTACTGCCCTGCCCCTCCGCCCTCCAGCAGTGGTCTCAGAGGTCTCAAAGACCCGGCCAGATCTCTGCACTATCCTTCACTCTGCTGTTCTCAGCATCTGCGTTCCAGCCATCGGCTCTGCCTTTCCAAAACCTTTCTCTGGAGGGGAAGGGAGGCTTCCAGCCCCCAGGTCATACAGATGGCAGCACATTTTTAACTAATTATTACTTTGAAAAGAGAAGCAAACAGGTGGACAGATGGAAGATTTAAATGGCAAATGTGTCTGTTAGAATTTATAATAAGTAGGACTCGAATCAAGGGCACCTCCTGGTAATGGTGTCAGAGAAGATCCCTACGCTCTAACGGCCAGAAGGAGTTCTGTTTACCCAGAACTCAGGGAAAACAAATGAGGCCAAAGTGTCCTGAGGACGGTGCAGGCCTATGACCCCAGTGCCTGGGAGGCTGAGTGGGAGGATCGAGAGTTTGTGCCCACCCTGGATTGCCAAACAAGTTCAAGGAAAGCCTGGGCTAGTGAGACCCCATCTCCAAAAGAAATAAAAACAAAACAAAGCCCCAGGCTCAAGCCAGTGAGACAGCACCGCTGGGAGGGCGCGACCTGAGATGGGTTTAGGCCTGACCCTGTGGCAGATCTGGCACACAGAGGGCACCTGACTATGGGTGGCATTAAGAGTCAGCAGGATCAAGAGACCCAGATTTGAAGTCGCGTCCAGAGAGCTCACATCAGTAAAACCTGAAACCCCGGCAACGGACACGCCCCGGTGTTCAGTCAAAACCCCGTTTCTTCTGGTATTCTCTCTGGCTATCTGAACCTGACCGAGAGATATGACGAATACTCGTAGTTACCTCAAAGCTGAGTTTCTCCCAAACATTGCCCTCCGACACTGTGAGGAGATCTTCATTCACATCATATTCATCTACAGCATCTGCTGGCTTCCAAGGGAACTTTATCATGAAAGTCCGAAGTTCACTGATGTAGCTCGTCAAAATGTCCACTCCTTCCTGGAGATGCTCATCCAGTGCTTCACGAAACACCAACATGCAGAAGTGTGTGTGCGTGCATGTGCGTGTGTGGGAAAGAGTGTGTGTGTGTATGGGTGTATGAGTGTGCGTAGATGTGTTTGTGCATATGTAAACAGGCAGGGAAAAAAGGGGAAGAACACATCACAACTTGTTGAAAGGAATTCTAGAAAATTTTCAGATTTCAAAACAGGTATTTTCAAACAATAAACCTGAGGTTTTCATCCCTTTCTCACACCGTTATCCTTAGAGCTTCTGCCTGCGCTGTTAGTGTCAAACCCTTCTCCCTCACGTGGCTTTCTTCACAGCAGCATGTCTGGGGAGCTCAGTTTCCCTGTCTCTGTTCTGACCGCAAACCCATGCCCCGAGCTTGCTGCTACTCTTACCTTCGGTGTAGACAAAAAGCTCCCTTATTTGCTTGTTAAGGAAAGACAGCGTGAGGTGAAGCAGCTGCTCTGCAAAGTGCTTGCTTTGGGTCTCAGCGTCACTCTCTCTAATTGCTGAGCAAAGTAAATCCAGGGCTGGAGTCATCTCTTGCACCTCTGAGAACAAATGAGGAAATTAACAAGGAAGCCCTGGACTATCTCCCCCACCTTAGCACATCTGAACACTGGTCGTGGGATTCTTAACTGCACACACAAGGTCCAGTGTCTTACTCTCACCAGCTCACACCTTTACAGAGGCTTCCTGGGTCAAACCGCAGCCACTAATACACATACACTGGCAGTACCACCAGGATTCTGCAGATGTGCTGTTTTATAAACTCTTTTTTTTCCTTTCAACAACCCAACAAGTGTTTACTCTCTTTCCAAAGATGAGACTGAGGTTGAGAGAGAGTGAGTCACTTACCCAAGGTAATTTTGAAAGTAAATAACGTGGCAGAGCCAAAATTTGAGCTTAAGCCTGTGTGATTCCGCATGTATGTAAGGAACAGGAGTATAACATGCCCCAAATCCCCTCTTTGTGCTTGAGGGCCCTCACAGGGCGATCCTCCGTATTTCAGCATCCGTCCAGCTTAGCGCGCGCGCGCGCGCGCGTGTGTGTGTGTGTGTGTGTGTGTGTGTTTGTGTGTAAGGATTATTGAAAATGTGGGCCCAGGACAGTTAGTAAAGCTTATTCCCATGCATCTTATTTCAGATCTGTTACTACCTTTAAATAAAAGCAGGAGAGAGTCAGAAAAAGCTACCAAACAGCACAAGTGAATAGCAACCACACAAATACTGATAGAACACTGTTCAATACACAAATCAAACCTTTCTTATGAATTAAACTATATATGTATATGTACATGTATATACACACACACACAGTTTGTTTGTTTTTGAGACAGGGTTTCTCTGTGTAACCCTGGCTGTTCTGAAACTCACTTTGTAGACCAGGCTAGCCTGGAACTCAGAGATCTGACTGCCTCTGTGTCCTGAGTGCTAGGATTAAAGGTGTGGGCCACCACTGCCCAGCAAACCTATATTGAGAAGCATTAAAAACTATCAAGGGGGAGAAAAATCAACCTTACTATCGAGACAAAAGTGGGTTAGGAGTGTGGCTCGGAGGTAGAGCACTTGCCTAGTATACGCAAAATCCTAAGCTTGATCCTCAGCACAGTAAAAAAAGAAAAGGAAAGGAAAGGAAAAGGTAAGAATAAAAGAGAAAGTTGTTTTCTTTTTCTTTTTTGAGACTGTGTCTCACTATATAGCCCTGTCTGACTAGCCTCAAACTCACTATGTAGACCAGGCTGTCCTTGAACCCACAGCAAGCTACCTGCTTCTGCTTCCCAAGTACTGAGATTAAAGTCTTGTGCCTGACTTTTTTTTTTTTTTTTTTAATTTCAAGACAGGGTCTTATTATACAATCCCACCTTCCTTCAAATTTACCAGGTGACACAAGCTAACTTTGAACTTGCAATCCTCCCTCCCACCTTTAGAAATGCTGGAATTACAGGCCTGCAACACCAGGCCTGGTTGAAAGAATGCCTTAATTTATTTTATTATTTTATTTTATGTATATGAGTGTTTTGCCTGCCTGTATGCCTGCACCACGTGTGTGCTCAGTGCTAAAGGAGGCCAGAAGAGGAGGACACCAGATCCTCTGGAACTGGAGTTACAGATGGATGTGAGCCACTTCGTGGGCATCTGGAATTGAACCCAGGTCCTCTGGAAGAACACTGAGCGGTCTTAACCACTGTGTCATCGCTCCAGCTCCTCCTTATCTTTAGCCAGATGTGCTGGATCTCCTGGAGCTGGAGTTACAGGAGGCTGTGAGCCACCTGGCATGGGTGCTGGTATTGTTATTCTTATGGCTTATCACCAGCCTCAGTATTTTGTAAACATACGCCTTCCTCACACAATGGCTGGTTGAATAAAGAGCTAAAGGCTAATAGCTAGGCAGGAGAGAAAAGTTGGGACATTGGGCTGAGAGAGGGTCTCTGGGAGTAGAATCAGAGTGGTGACAAGGAGGAAGCTGGGCATACCGGAGTGAAGTGAGGTAACAGCCATATGGTGAGCTGTGGATTGGAATAACCAGGTTAATTAAGTTAGATGACCTAGCTGGGAGGTAGCTAAGGTCTAAGCTATAACAAAAATTAACAAGTCTCTGTTGTTTCTTTTAAGATTTATTTATTATTTGTACAGTGTTCTGCCTGCATATGAGCCAGCAGGCCAGAAGAGGGCACCAGATCTCACTATGGATGGTTATGAGCCACCATGTGTGCTGGGAATTGAATGCAGGACCTCTGAAAAACAGTCAGTGTTCTTAACCTCTGAGCCATCTCTCCAGCCCCAGACTCTGTGTCTTTATTCTAACTGCTGGCTGCTTGAGAAACTCCTGCTATAGGCTACACAGTGAGCCTTGGTCTAAAAAAACTGGAATGAATCTATAATAAGAATTTGGCTGATCCAGGTGGCAGAGAAGACAGGCAGATCCCTGTAAATTCCAGGCCAGCCTGGTCTACAAAGCAAGTCCAGGACAGCTAAGGCTACACAGAGAGACCCTGTCTCAAAAACAAACAAACAAAAAACAAACAAGAAAATTGACTGGGTAAATTATGATAAAAGTTTACACAAAGAAATCCTGTGCCACTACAATTAATAACCACATGTATTATTATACAAAGACTCTACAAGATATGTTAAAAGGGAGAAAAGCAGGTTATAATACTATGTGTACAGGAGGAAACACGCCTTATCACACTGTTCCTTTAACACAGTGGTTCTCAACCTTCCTAATGCTGTGGCCCTTTAATACAGTTCTCACGTTGTGCTGACCCCCATAGAATTATTTCGTTGCTACATCATGACATGTGTAATCCCGCTATTGTTATGAACCACACTGTAGACACCTGGTATTCAGGGTGCCTGATATGAGACCCCAAAGGGGTTGTGGCCCGCAGGCTGAGAACCACTGCTTGGCTGCCAGGTTTGAGAAATGGTAAGCTCCCCATTTACAAAGAGAAGCCCAAAATCTTGAGAAATGTTAAAGTAGCAAAAAAAAGCACACAAGTCAGTGAAAACTGTCGTAGCCAATCCCCGTCTACAACCCTGTATAAGTCACAGACAAGCTGTGAACACACACCTCAGCCTAAAGACAGCAAATTCCCCAAAGAGCTTCGTTCCCCTTCACACATCATTCTGGTGAACATAAAAGATCATCTTGTCCTTGCATACAAGGACAGAGCATAGCAGAGTACAAACAGTAAACACTGTCGCTAATCTAGGGTGCAATTCTTTTAGTAGCAGGACTGAACAAGGGGCCCCCTATGGGCAGACAGGTACTGAGGCACTGAGCTCCTCCAGCCCTACAGTGACAACAGTGATAGACTTGATAGCTTTCCTCACCATACATAAGCTCTGAAAATAAGTTGTAACAAGAAAAAGACCATCAGACGACACAGTAAGAGGGCTGGAGAGATGGCTCGGCATTTAAGAGGACATGCTGTTTCACAGGACAGGGTCCACTTTCCAAGACCAACATCGGGTGGCTTGCAAACATGTGTGACTGGTTCCAGGGGAGCCCTGCTGGGCGTCCCCAGATACCTGTGTCTGTATGTACCTGTATGTGCCCAGACAAACGTGGGCACATACACACAAGCAGGCACACACACACACATAAATTATAAAGTGAGTAATAATGTGAAAATGTCTGAAATGGTAAGTGTGCACGTAGAAATATTTTACTCACGTTGTAAATATAAATGGGATGGAAACTGGTGCAGGCGATCAGGAACAGATTTTGAAGATGGAGTAAGAAGGCTTTCCTTGCTCTTCAAGAAGAAATCTACTGTGTCCAGCTGACGATTTTCTATGCCAGCCTAAACAAGGAAAGGAAAGAAGCCAGAGATTTTCTCTGTGGGGGCTGAGGGCAGGTTTTTTTTAGACTTCAGAAGCTAAAATGGAGATATCTGGGAACTATGAACACAGAGACGCCTCATTATTAACCATCCCCATGTGACTCCAGCTCTGTACCAGCAATGCCTTAGGGGCTGCAGGGCCTTCCCAGGCCACCAGCTGGTCCTGCCCATTGCAAACTGGCAACATGCTCAACAGTCTTGTGCCCAAAGGTTTTGGCACTCTTTAGCTCCAGGCCTCATCCATCTCTTCAGCCGACTCACTGTTTACTGTAAAAATAATTAAGAGAAGAAAACGGGTTGAATAAATGTTTGAGTCAGATAGTTTGAGCATTTTTGGGTTACTTGAACCTCTTGCTCTGCTCTAACTATAAAATAGTGTAATGAGCAGTTGTGGAACAAAATAGAACACAGTCAAGTAGGAACAAGCTACGGACCCCGATCAGATGCTGAGCCCATTAACACTGGGTAGTTTGGTCTATCTGGGGTTGGAGGCATGGCCAGCGTCCAATGTGCCCTCTACCCCAGGCTCTTAAGAGTCACAACAGAGGGCTAATATCCAGAATATATAAAGAACTCAGGAAGTTAAACAGCAACAAATCAAGTAATACAATTTTAAAAATGGGGTACAGAGCTAAACAGAATTCTCAATACAGGAATACCAAATGGCAGAGAAACACTTAAAGAAATGTTCAACATCCTTAGTCATCAGGGAAATGCAAATCAAAATGACCCTGAGATTTCACCTTACACCCATCAGAATGGCTAAGATCAAAAACTCAAGTGACAACACATGCTGGAGAGGATATGGAGAAAGGGGAACCCTCCTTCATTGCTGGTGGGAATGTAAACTTGTATAATCACTTTGAAAATCAATCTGGCACTTTCTCAGACAATTAGGAATAGTGCTACCTCAAGATCCAGCTATATTACTCATAGGCATATATCCAAAATATGCTCAAGTATACAATAAGGACATTTGCTCAACCATATTTATAGCAGCTTTATTTGTAATAGCCAGAACCTGGAAACAACCCAGATGTCCCTCAACGGAGGAATGGGTACAGAAATTGTGGTACATTTGCACAATGGAATACTACTCAGCAATTAAAGACAAGGAAATCATGAAATTTGCAGGCAAATGGTGGGAACTAGAAAAGATCATCCTGAGTGAGAACCCAGAAGCAGAAAGACACACAGGGTATATACTCACTTATAAGTGGATATTAGACATAAAATATAGGATAAACATACTAGAATCTGTATACTTAAAGAAGCTAATCAAGAAAGAGAACCCTGGGTAAGATGATCAATCCTTACTCAGAAAGGCAAATGGGATGGACATCGGAAGAGGAAGAAAACAGGGAACAGGACTGGAGCCTACCACAGATGGCCTCTGAAAGACTCTACCCAGCAAGGTATCAAAGCAGATGCTGAGACTTATAACCAAACTTTGGGCAGAGTGCAGGGATCTTATAAAAGAAGGCAGAGATAGAACGACCTGGAGGGGACAGGAGCTCCACAAGGAGAGCAACAGAACCAAGAAATCTGGGCCCAGAGGTCTTTTCTGAGACTGATCCTCCAACCAAGGACCATTCATTCATGTAGATAACCTGTACAGATGTAGCCCATGGCAGCTCAGTGTCCAAGTGGGTTTCCTAATAAAGGGAACAGGGACTGTCTCTGACATGAACTCAGTGGCTGGCTCTTTGACCTCCCCCTGATGGGGGAGCAGCTTTACCAGGCCACAGAGGAAGACAATGCAGCCAGTCCTGATGAGACCTGATAGGCTAGGGTCAGAAGGAAGGGGAGGAAGACCTCCCCTATCTGTGGACTGGGGAAGGAGCATAGGAGGTGATGAGGGAGGGTAGGATTGGGAGGGGATGAGGGAGGAGGCTACAGCTGGGATACAAAGTGAATAAACAGTAATTATTAAAAAAATTAACTAAAATTAAAAAGAAAGAGGGAGAGAGAGAAAGAGTCACAATGGCCCCATCAAGGCAGCCCTCTGCTTAACAGCGGAAGAATTTTAACTCACATACATGCGGGCGCATGCTCGTATATTTGGAAGAGGTGACGTGGCAGCAGCACTGGGGAGGCCAGGCAGGAGGAGCTGAGCACCAGGACAGCGTGGGCTGTGGAAGGGGTCCTTGTCATCACAGAGACAGGAGCCACACATCTGTGGACTTCACCTTTATCACTCTTGCTTGGCTTTCCCCCCTCATTTTCTCACGATCTCCAGAAACAACACTTTATTTGTGATTATTTGTGATCAGTAGAGGGACATGGGTGCAACACAAATGTCGTAAGTTCGGTGTGGTGTGAAAAATAAAAAGGTTGGAAAAGAGGCTAGAGATGGCTGAGGGATTGAGAATGCGCCGTGGTCTGCAGAGGACCCAGGTTCAGTCCCCAGCACCCACACGGCGCCTCACAGCTACCTGTAACCACAGCTCCAGGGATATGATCCCTTGTTTGGTCTAAGCGCACACTCATACATAACTAAGAGTAAAAAGCATTTTTTAAAAAGGTTGGGGGGAAAAGGCCTAATACGTTGGTGTGCTTAAATACTGATATATTCATAAATAATTTTTCATCAACGTTTTAAAAATCTTCAGGAAACAATTTAGTAATTTCAGTGCATGTTCACAGCTGCACTGACCTTAAATTTAGAGAAAAGATTCTAAGACGAACTGAGTTATTACATATAACATATATATGTCATATATACACACATATAAATACAACACATACATGATATACGCATATCATATACAAATACATACACACATTCCCCAGTCTCATGTGTATGTATGTCACAGACACACATTAATCACACACACCTGTACTCAGCTTTCAGGAAATAGAAGTAGGAAGATCAGGGGTTCAAGTCAGTCTTGGATACACAGCAAGTCTCAGACTGGCCTGGGATACTCTTATCTCAAAACTAACAACAACAAAAGGCCTCTCAGGAATGCCCTGACTTTTATTCTAGTTTCTAGCTTCTTTATTAGTATACTGTGGCTACTGGATTGGCTGCTCTGTATCTATTTCTTAATCTATTAGAGAGAGAGAATATAAAAGTTACTCAATCATGGGTGGTTGATGTGATTGTTTTAGGGTTAAATTAGATAATACATATAAAAGAATGTGTGAACCATAAAATGCTATATAAAGTTGGATTATATCTTCTAAATCTGGATAGAAAGGAGAACAGAAATAAAAGATCATTTCTACTCTGTTCTGGCTTGATTCTTGTCATATTAGCTTATTGCTGTCTCCATTTCTGCCACAACACCTTTCTTAATAAGAGTTAAGGAGCTGAACAGTCAGGCCTGGAGGATGAGAGATGAAGATGGCTAGAACATGTGAATTCTTCCAGGCACTCGTTAGCACAGGGGCACAGCAAATGAAGTGGGACAGGTCTCGCTTTGTTACCTTTAGGGCATGGATGGGAATTGAGCATCGTCCCCAACCGTTCAGATGACAAAGGGAGTCCACGGTGCTGGCGCTTCCGTGGATCATTAGTCTGTTCACAAACTCCTCTTGAGTTAAACCAAACAAAATCAAAGAGAGACCATTTTCTATAGGAAAAAAAAAAAAAAAGAAATTAAGAAATCAGTAGGGACCTAGAGCTTAGAATTAGGACTTAGAAATTAATTTCTAATTACCTAATATTTCAATACCATAGCTATAATAAGTATACTGAGCCAGGTACGGTCACGCATGCCTTTTATGTCAGCGCTGGGGCAGTGTCCTCCTCGTGCTCACCTGTCAAAACAAGGCACAGCTGCTGATCTCCGCTGCTGTCTACCGGCGTACACTTCTGGCTGAGAGGAAAACACTGCACGCTCCGGCTCTCCAAGTCCCAGAGGATGATGGTGCAGCTGGTTGTTCCCACTGCCCCGATAAACAGTGCCGTGAATCCCGTCACAGACATACACCTGAGCTCCGGGGGCTGCTCTGCTTCACCCAGGTGCATCGTCTCCCACGGTCTTCTGGGATGGCTGGTCTTGGCGTGTTCCTTCTGGGGGAAAGCACACTGGCCACGCGTGACGTCCCCTGGAATGAGAACGTGGTTTGGCACACCAGGAGTGTGGTTGCCAGATTCCGGGGACTCCAAATGCAAAACACCCTGGAACCACGGAGCACAACGGGAAACCTCAGGTTCCGAGCTCCTCGCTGTTTCATGAAGTGATGACAGCTGGGCCCTCCAAGACCTGGAAGACAGGGCAGCTCTTAGCACCGTTACAGCGAGGGCATGGAGTCAAAGACAGGCCAGCAGGAAGACGCGCTTCTGAAGGAGTCTGGCCAGGAACAGGAGGCAGGGGGGTCGTGCTGCGTTCAAGGGTAGCTGCAAGCCTGCTAGAACGCCAGTAAGACCTTGCCTCCATGTAAACAAACAAACAAACAAAATCTGCCATGTAGAGACTTTTCATGAAAATATAACGTTAGAAGGAAAGACAGAAAGAGAAAGAAAGAACTAAATCCTGAAGGTAAATGTTCGTACCTATCAACCTGAAAGGCTGCCTTGGTCAGTTTCATGCTGTGGACAGAGTTTACAAGGTCGTCCTCGTCTACTCCTGGAGGCCCTTCGATAGGAAGGTCTTCCAGTGTTCCTCCACACAGTAGGTGTTCTGGGTGTTGCCTACATTGAAAAAGAATGATAGCCATATCAAAAAATGATGAACAGCCCCAAATTTGTTCCCCAGTACTTCTGGGTTTGTATGTGTACTTTTTATTTTGTTCCCTTTTTTTTTTTTTTTTTTTGAGAGACAAAACATGCAGTTGGGTGGGTAGGAAGGTGAGTAGGGAGTGGAGAAAGGGAAGGAATATGATTAAAATATATTGCATGAAAATTTTAATAAAAATAGATATGATATACAAAGAACTACATAAATATATTCTCCTGACTGTCATCTCTCTAACCAAGTGATAAAAGTCAGCACCAAGAATTTGATGCTAAAGCCGGGCATGGTGATGCATATCTGTAATCCCAGCACTAAGGAAGGCAGAGGCAGGCGGATATCTGTAAATTCAAGGTCAGCCTGGTCTACAAAGTGAGTCCAGGAGAGCCAAGGCTACACAGAGAAACCCTGTCTCAAAAAACCAAAAAAGAATTTGACTCTAAGCCTTTGGTGCATGCCTATAATCCCAGCACTCAGGGACACAGAGGCAATGGATCTCTGTGAGTTCAAGGCCAGACTGCTCCACAAATGAAGTCCAGGACAGCCAGGGTTACAGAGGAAAAAAAAAAAAAAAAAAAAAACTGTCTCAAAACAAAACAAACAACAATAGCAAACCAATTTGACTACGGGCTGGAGTGATGGCTCAGTGATCACTGACTACTCTTCCAGGAGACCTGGGTTCAATTCCCAGCAGCACATCACAAATTGTAACTGTTAACTCCTCTCTCTGCAAACATTGCACACACACACGGTACACAGACTTACATGCACCCTGACACACAAGACAACTAAATAATGAACAATTTCAACAACGACGAGAGGATCTGACTGTGGAGCTGTTCATGTCACGATGTGAACATCACTAGCTAGCATGCTGCGGGGGCCATGATGATTTACGTGAACTCCCCAGCCTTCCTCAGCCTTCCAGACGTAAGTATAACCCACTTTACAGAGACAGACACTAAGGCTCAAGAGAAACACTGAGCCAAGCTAATTTAACCGGGAAGCATGGGGTTTAAGTTGTCTTTTTACATTTGTTCACTTATTGGAGGTAGGGAGGACATAGGCACCCCACAGAGCATGCGTGGAAGTTACATCTTGACAGACCAAGCTAAGGTTTTTAATAACTCGCTACATCACAGCAAACCAAGATGTAGGCTGGGATTGGTGAGTGAGCAAGAACCACAAAGTATGTGTGTGGGTTAAGATGGGACAGTTGTGTGGAGAAACAAAGAGGGATGTGGAAGCCAGAGAAGAGCAAATGAGAGGCGCTGTAGCAGGAGATGAGGCTGGCGAGGCTGGCAGGAGACAGATGGCTCAGAGCCTTGTGGGAAGTTTTTCATTTTCAGGAGAAAAAGGCAGCTCAGGAAGGGTTGAGGCAGAACATGAGCACATGCAGAATATAGCTAGGGAGAGGGGAGAGCGGTTTTTTGTTTTGTTTTTGTGGCTGGAGAGACAGCCGTGGGTGCTGGGAACCGAACTCTTATATTTATGGTTGTGAGCCTAGCCTTTAATGGCAGAGCCATCTCTCCAGCCCGGGAAGAGCGTTTACTCTTGTTATGAACTCTGGAAGTATTGATCTTGGAGTTATGTTGACATAACCTCTTGCCCTCGCATTTGAGTACGTGCTGGCCACCGATGAGATGGACATGGTAACAATGCCTCCTTAAGTACTTTGGAGAAGAGGGTGCAGGGTGCAGGTTTAACAGACAGTGTCTGTCAAAGCAGTCCAGTAAGAAGACAGTGGCATGGTGTGGGGCGGAGAGAGCAAGGAGCACAGCCTGGGGAAAACTCCCAGGGGTAGCATGGCTGCCACTCGTCCATGAACTGGGTACAGACTGAGTACTAAAAAGAGGGTGTAAATACAGAAAAGGAAGAGAGGCAGGGAGAGGTCCCTGGGGAGGAAGGGATGAAACTTCATAAAAGAGAGGGAACCAAAAAGCTAAAGGAGGCCTCGCTAGACACTAGATGGCTTCTGTTTCTTATAAAATGTCGGAGGCAAGGTCATTCAAGGAGAGGGAATAGAGATGAGCAGGTCTGGGGGAAAACAGAGGGTTGGATACATTGTTTTTGTGAGGCTGGCTATGGTGATGCACACCTATCGTCCAGGCCCTGGGAGGCAGAGGCAGAGGCAGGCTAACCTTGAGTCTGAGGTCAGTCTGGACTAAACAGCAAAACACTGTCTCAAAATACCATATAGAAAGGGGGCCTGGCATAGAGTGTTTCTGCGGTTTTCTCACAAATGCACTGTTGCTTGGTTATAGCTGCTAAGGAGGCAGGACCAAGATTTCATTCAGGGTTGATATTTTGGCAGGTGAAGTGTTACTGTGGAGCAAGAGCAAAGGTTTAGACTGCATGTAAGAAACTGACTCAAACAATGGATCACAAAACCCTGCCTGAGAAGTGGGAAGTGAAGACAGGAGGAGAGGGAAGACAGAAGGTGACCTAGCTGGAAATCCCTGTGAGGTCAGAGGGCAGGTAACTGAGTAAGCCAGCTAAAGAGTGTGGGAAGTTGTGCTGATCCGTGTAGAGGAGTGATCTGGAGCAGGAGCGGCTTCAAATGCTGGCAAAGCCCAGAGTTTGGCTACAAGAATGGACAGCTAAGATAAAATGGAAGGAAAACTCACTTGTGATGAATGAGAAGAACAAGACCCTGCGACCTGGGAGGCTCAGCTGGAAAGATCACCTGAGCCTAGGAGCTCAGGGACCAGACTGAGCAACTCAAGGTCCCATCCCAAAAGGGAGAAAAAGGCTGGAAGGACAAACTACTAGATGAGTTCTCAAAGAGCATTCCCAAACCCAGTTTGGAAAATAGATGAAAAAAAAAAAAAAAAGGAAATAATATCAAACTACACAGTTAAGTACTAAACTCCGGCTCAGGAGCAGAAGTGCCTCAAAAATTGGAAGAGAAGGACAGTCATAAAGTAAGACAAGAGCAGCCTGGGTAAACTAAGGCCCCTGCCCAAAAATTTAAATCACAAGGCAAGGCACGGCGGCTGCTCTTGCAGTCCTAGCACTCAGGAGGCAGAAGAGAGATCCGAGTTCGAGAGCAGCCTGACCTGCATAGCGAGACCCTGTAGGTAGCAAACAAAAAAAGGCTATGGTTCACACTTCTCCCCCGACTGAAATTTCATCAATGTCGACTTGTTTTTAGAGCCAAGTCAAAGCGTAAACATGTAAACAGCCACTTAAAACAGACTGGGGCTTGGGGTCTACCTCAATGGCAGCACGCTTGCTTGCTGAAGAGGACTGGGTTTAACCACTAGCAGCGAAAGGAAAAACATGACAGCTGTAAAGATTCCTGGCAGGTATACAAAAATAAATTTACTCTTTTAACTGACCCAAACAATAAACAAATAAAACTCATCAAAAATATTCCCAGCTACTCAGGGATGTATCTTATTCATATCAGAGTAGAACCAAAAGCCGAAATGGTTTCGAGTGGCCTGTGTATTTTTAGCTCAAAAATGTTGAAAGCCTGGTTTCAGATTATTGAGCTACACAGTGAGACTGTAAGATCAACAGCAGCAGGCAAGCTGGCGGAACCCAGCCAGGCACTCAGTGCTGCTGAGGTTCTTAGACAGCCATAGGTTCAGTTCCTCCGAGGGAAAGACCACGGAAATCCCCAGGCAGAAAAGCCAGCTGAATATATCTCGTCATACTTCTTGAAGGGGAACATGAGCCCCAGTACAGCCGGGATCCCAAGCCACAAAAACAGCAAGTCCAACAACAGGTAAATTCCATTCTCTTAGAAGTCTTAAACAGGACAGGAAGTAAGGTGGTGGTATATAAAAAGTGCGGCTTTTTAACTGTACAATGTTGATTTTTATATGATATAACCCCACATAATGCCACTTCAGTGGAAACCAAACCTTTGATACACAAGGCAGCCAGGAGTCATTTATACACATTCTTGCACGGTAACATTGTTACCTTGGGAGCCATAATGAGCTCTAACTGCATAGAAAAAGATGCTTTAAAAAAAAAAAAAAAAGCTGGCAAGGATATTTTAAATCTTTTTATGGGTCTATTTACCTCAAATGAGACATTTTATCACCTGCCTACCTGAAGTATGAATTTAGGTCAAGAGCAACTGCAGTACTGGATGAGCTGATAAGCACCAAAACGTCCAAGTCCTGGGACACCTTCAGTGATGTAAACGAAGAGGTGCTGGCTGGCTCCTGCCGCTCAGAATCTTCTCGGAGGAGAGCCAGGTCCACCAGAGCCACATGCGTGCCGTTTGCAGTGTCAAAAATATCTGAGCTAGAGTTAAAGAAGGGTCAGCTCTGTGAATCACAGGATGGTCTTGACTGCTGCCACCTTGGAGATGTAGCAGGAAAGCTGGAAATGGAGGCATTCTCCATGGAATGACCAGATGACTAAGAAGCCAGCACCATCACAGGAGGATGCCCACCACACTGCCCCAGCCGCCGAGACACTTCTATTTCCCAGGATAAACCCAATTTAACATTACGCATTAGCCAATGCCCAAAATTAGCTCGACATGCAACCAACATTAAGAGCTCATTTTCTTGTAAGCCACCAAAATCTAAGTTACACTTAGAATACAACTAAATTTGGATACTAAATTTTCTTTCCTCCGTTTCCTTCCTTTCTTTTTCTTTTCCTGTTATTTTTTGGTTTGGTTTGGTTTGGGGTTTTTTTTTTTGTTTTTTTTTTTTGAGTCAGGGCTGTTCTGAACTCACTTTGTAGACCAGGCTGGCCTTGATCTGCCTGCCTCTGCGTGCGCCACCACTGCTGTGCCTGAACAGTAAATTTTCAACCGAAACATCTGACCCGTATTTGGACTCCACAGCGTGACAGCTGAAATGCCAAGAGAAACCTTGGGCGGGAGATGAAACTAAGTTAGTAGACTGTTCATCTAGCTCAATGGAGCCCTGGGTAAGAGTCCCCAAGACCATATAATCTGAGCGTAATGGCTCAAGCCTGTCTCCCCGGGACTTGGGAGGCAGAGCTGGAAGGTCAGATGTTCAAGGCCCTCCTTGGCTAAACAGAGGGTACAAGTCCAGTCGTGGCTACATGAGACCCATTTTTTTTTTTAAGTCTGAAAAATTAAGTTTATTCTAAATATACTTAAGCTCTCTAATAACTAAACCAACTATCAGCTTTTAAACCTAATAAAATAAAAACTAAGTATCCATATACCTTGACAATTTCAAATATTCAGCAGCCTCGTACATCTGACACCTACTGGAGTAGACAGCAAAGCTCTATATTTTAGCAACAAAAATTAAGTCAATTCAGTATTTTATGACATTTCTGTGAAAAACAAAACAAAACCAATGTATTTAACATAGAAAATCATCCCTTTATGAAGCCGAGTCAAAAGGACTGAGTTTAAGGCTAACATGGGTTACAGACTGAGTTCTCAGTTACAAGACCCTGTTTCAAAACCCAGAATAGAAGGATGTGGTAACACAAGCCTTTAATCTCAACACTCGAGAGGCAGAGGCAGGAGATCTCTGTGAGTTAGAGGCTGTTTGGTCTACACAGTGAGTTTCAGGCGAGCAGGGGCTACATGGTAAGACCCTGCCTCAAAAATAGATGGACAGATGGATAGATGGATACATACATACATACATACAAATGGCCAGGGATTGGATGTAGCTTAGTGGTAGAACATTTGACTAACAAACACGAGACCTCTAGTTCAACCCCAAAACTATAAAGAAAGGAAGATCATCCCTTAACTTCATAAATAAGTCTCAAAAACCATGTATGAGGTCACTTTTGAAACCTTCAAAATAATTTTACTGCTAGCTACAAGGTACAGTATTTTCAAAAACTGTTAATACTTATGCAAAACATTTATTAAAATGATAGTTGAGTATTTTATGAGTATATTTGCCCTGAAAATTCCTACTGAAACCTAACCACTCTCCCTTCGCTCCAGTTCCCCCAACTGAAAGTGTAGATGGCTCATCTTTCTATGTAGTCTTCTCCCCCACACATTAATCACCATGTTTCCAGTCAAGGATACAGAGCCAGCCTACTGTACTCAGAGCAAAAAGAAGCCTCCTACAGAGCTGCACATCAGTAATTGTGTCCGCCGTCTGTTCAGGCAAGGGCAGCGGGAAGCAGTCCAGCACACAAATCCCAGATTCTGTCCCCAGGAATGCAATGTGTAGGATGAAACAGTCATTGATGAGCAGTAATGGCATGCTGTCGCGAAAGGACAGAATTCTCAAAGACTTGAAGGAAATACCTGTGAAACAAAAGGATACTATCTTAAACTCATTGATCGTAATTTTACAGTTGGTAAATGTGACCTTATAAACATAAAAAAAAAAAAAACCCAGATAAAACAAGGAAACTGCACTTATTCTAAGTCAAGGCAGTTACTGTTCATTTCTGTGGGGACGTCAGGCATTAGGAGGTAGGTGAAGAAGAATAAAGATGGCTGACAGTGTCCCAGGGTTCTTTTTAAGATTGAAACCTCAAAGCATACCAGAGGAGGAGTCAAAAAGCCAAGTTACCCATGGAATTACACAAAAACAGTCAGACATTTTTTTTTCCTTAAAGAAAAAGGAGGAACCTTATACTCAACGGTAGAAAGGATGTTACTGTATTCAATTTACTTGGATTTCTGTTCCCTCCTGCAACTTATCAGGCAAGACAGTTAACAGCTATGCAACCAGTCTAGGTCCGTCCCGTCCAATAAAATACATGACTCATCAATCCATGAGACAGATATGATCCAATGTGCCTGGCTGCCAGGGAAACAGGTGAAATTGATTTAATATATATTATTTAGTTCACTACATACAAAATATCATTTTGACATGTAATTCAAACAAAAAATCATTAATGAGCTATTTTACTTTCCTTATACTAAGCCTTCAAAACCTGAGTCTGGAGAGATGGCTCAGTGGTTAAGAGCACTGTCTGCTCTTCCAGAGGATCCGGGTTCAATTCACAGCACCCACATGGCAGCTCATAACTCTCTGTAACTCCAGTTCCAGGGAATCTGACACCCTCACATAGACATACATGCAGGCAAAACAATAATGCATATAAAATAAAAATAAATAAACCTTTTTTAAAAAAAAGATTTCAAAACCTGATATGTAAAACCAGTTTGGTGGTGTAGGCCTATAGCCTCAGCTATTGAAGAGGCAGAGGCAAGATGATTATAAGCCTGGGCAACTTGGTATCAAAAAGGCCTGGAGACTTGGGTATGTGGCTCAATGATTGATTGACAGATAGCATGTATGAGGTCATAGGTTCAATCCCTAATACCCTTCTAAAAAAAGAAAGATGTATTTTTTTTTTGAGGCAGAGTCTTACTATGTATCATAGCATCAGAGACCTTCCAGCTTCTGCCTCGAAAGTTCTAGGTTACAGGTGTCTATTATCACCTCACCTGGCTGTGACAGTGAAAGTACTTTTTAGGGTAAGGATGTAGCTCAGGGGCCAAGGGTTGCCTAGCATTTGTGAAACTCTGGATTTGATTCCCAGCCCTGCGAGAATGAAGAGGACAACCTTACTCATATTAACCACATTTCAAGTGCTCAACAGCCCAACCTGGCTCGTGCGCAGAGTGCCCTCTCAGATTTCACCTCTCCGAGAACTTCTCATACAAGGCCATCACGAGCTGCCTGTGGGGGCACACTCCTGAAATCCCAGCCTTGTGAAGCTGAGGCGGGGGGAGCCCGTGCTACCGGTCAGACTCAAACGTGACGCTCACCGACACCTCGATCTTCAATGAGCTTCTGCAGTGTCCTCCCATCGCAGCTGTGTGATAAGGCTGCGTCACATCTTCCATCTTTCAAGTCAAATTCGTACACGAGCAGTTCGTAGCCTTCTCTCGCAGCGAGCAGTTTGGGCTTGTCAGCTGATGTGCTGTTGCGAGACTCCTCCCATAGGAAACTAAGAAGAGAATTTAGATTTTTTAGATTTCTGTACCCACACTCCCACTCGCCACAATAGCGGGGATCAAAGGGCAGAGCAAGGACAGCTTAGTTCTGTCAACACCAATTCTGCAGTCCAGTTTAAGGGAGTGAATACTACTCTAAGACCCTCTTCGCTTCTCTTCCCTTCTCACTTTTTCTCACTCTACACCACCTAAGAGTGGGGTATGAAGTGAACATAGAGCAGGAAACTGTTTCCTTCAGCTTTTTAAGTCTTTTTGTAATCATTCTTTTACATTAAGTGTCACCTGATTTTATACACACACACACACACACACACACACACACACATTTGGTTTTTCGAGACAGGGTTTCTCTATGTAGCCCTGGCTGTCCTGAACTCACTTTGTAGACCAGGCTGTCCTAGAACTCACAGAGATCTGCCTCGGCCTCCTGAGTGTTGAGATTAAAGGTGTGTGCCATCATGTCCGGCCATAAATGTATTACGTGTACAGTAATCAATGAAATGGGCTTATAGATCTGGAGGCGGCTGGGTGGTGCAACCATCAGTAACTGCATCTCCTTCTGGTCTCTGCAGGCACCGGGCGCACGGTGCACACGCATACATGCAGGCCAAACGCTCATGCACATGAAATAAATAAGTGTTTTAAACGGGCTTCGGCTGAGTTCAATTATTTCAGATTTTAAAAATTGGTTATGTACAACAGGGGCCTTTGAATACTCCAGAATGTTATGGTACAGAACAACCCTGCCCAAGAGAAGTTTGTGATAATGGAAATGTTTAATTTCAGCGCTGCTCAAGACAGCCAACAACCAGCGGACAGGCATGATACAGCACTTCAGCTGTGGATATGACAAGAAACTGCTGCAGTAAGAAGCTCACTTTAACAGTCCCACGTGACTAATGACTGTCGTACTAAACGGCATAGTCACCAATATTGACTGACGAGGACACAGAGAGACTAACTATATTAAATTACATTTTAAAATAAATGTGCCGGGCGTGGTGATGCACACCTTTTGTCCCAGTGCTGGGAAGGCAAAAACAGGCAAAGATAGGCAGATCTCTGTAAGTTCAAGGCCAGCCTGGTCTACAAAGCTGGCCTTGAAGTTCAGTACAGCTAGGACTGTTACACAGAGAAACCCAGTCTCAAAAACCCAATATATATATATAATGTATATATATATATATATAATATATTATGTAATATAATATATTATATGTATATTATATATGTATATTATATATTATATATGTATATAATATAATATATTATATTATATGTATATATTATATATACATAATATAATATATATAATGTATAACATATTATATATATGTACATATATATGTCCACTTTTATATAATATATTATATATACCACTTTTCCAACCATACATATATAAGTGGCTCAGGGGCCAAAGAGCTGTCTCCAGAAGTCTGAGAATGGCAGTTAGGATACTCAGAACAAACACAGAAGCCTGTCAGATATGGTGACCTGGCCGCCTGTAATACCAACACACAGGTGGAAGAGACAAGAGCTCCTGGAGACAAGCAAGCTATCTAGACCAGATGGAGACTGAGAGCTCCTGGTTTCAGACAGAGACTCCGACTCCAGAAATTAAGTGGAGGGCCAGCGATGGCTCAGCAGGGAAAGGCACTTGCATGCCAGCCAGGCAACCTGTTGGATCCCTGGAGCCCATGTGAAGGTAGACGCACACAGCCAGCCCCACAGAGCTGTTTTCTGACCTCCACGATGTGTGCTGCTCCATGTGTTCCTGAGCAAGCACACACGCCCAGACGCTACTACGAAGAAGGAATAATTTTAAATTATTGTGAAGCCCTATCTAAGAAGACACCCAATTTCAACATCAGGCGTCAACGTGTACACACACACACACACACACACACACACACACACACACACATTTACACACATGTGAAAATAAAGTGAAAGGGCCCAAGCCAGGCATAGCAACACATACCCATTGTCTTAGCTACTCAGAAGGTTGGGGGAGGGGGGTTCTCTTGAGCCCAGGGATTGAACAGCTTACACGGCACAGCAAGACTCTATCACTGATACCCATGAGTGAGGTCTGGTGGCTCAACAATAGCCACATTCTTCAGGGGCTGAGGTGGGAACATTGAGTTTGGGGCCAGCCTGGGCTACGGAGAGACTCTGTCCCAAAATCAGTCAATAGGGCCCAACTCTGAAAACACTGTAGTTGAAAGAGACAAGGGTACCCCTGTGATAGAGTTTCAGTTTCTTTTACAAACCCTGCTTTTCTGCGGTAGTAAGTTTTATATTATATGAGGTGGCCATTAGGTCCTTTTTAGAAAGACAGACAGTTTTGAATTTCTGCTTTTTATATGCCAGGAATGATTTTTTTTTTTCACCACTGAAAATTTGGGAAATAACCTAAATACCAAATATGGAAAGGGTTAGACAAAGTAAAATATTTAAAGGGAGAACACTGTGCTGTCCCATTGAGATCATTAGCACATGGGCAATACCAGCACAACAAAATTGATGAAGAGAACATTGGGGTATACAATCATCTAAACAACATAAAACAGACTTACATGCCGAGCGTGCTGGGATAGCAGTGTTTCTTGTAATCCCACCACTTGAAAGGCCCAAAGGAAGGAATCAAGAGTTGGAAGCCAGCCTGGCTTACACAGGAGAGCCAGTCCCAGAACACCAGAAGGAGAGGTGGCCCAAAGCATAAAAGCAATTGCTTTTCCTGAGGACTGGGGACCCATTTTCAGATCCTAGCGCCCACACCGGGCAGTTAACAATTCCCTGTAACTCCAGCTCCAGAGGTTCCAACACCCTCTTGCAGCCTCCACAAGCACCCACACACGTGGCACACACAGTACATACGTGCACATAAAAACAAATCTTTAAAAGACAAAAAAAACCCTATAAGCTATATACTGTGAGAAAAGTAGAGAGCAAACTGTAACTTCTAAAACACTGTCCTTAGTTTTATTCTACACCACCTTTTAACTGAATTTAAAAAAAAATCAGTTCAATTAGAAATTTTAAGAGGCTGGAGAGAGAGAGCGAGCTCAGAGAGAAAAGCACAAGGTCTGAGCCCAGCAGCCACAGACAGAGCCTGCAGCTCCTCTGAGAGGTGGAGACAGGAGGCCTGCTGGCCAGACAGAGCACAGCCAGTTCAGCCCACCCAGAGGCTCCAAGTTCAGTGAGAAGCCCCGACTTAAAAATCACAGATAGAGAAGACACCTCTGCTGGTCTCCGGCCTCCACATATGCATGTACAGCCACTCCCACACACATGAGGACATGCACACACACAGTAAGAAGGGAGAGCTGGGCGTGGTGGTACATGCTTAGAATCCCAGCACTGGAGAGGTGGAGGTAGGAGGATTAGGAGTTCCCAGCAATGTTCGAGGCAACCTTATGGGGGGGGGGGGATGGTTAAACTATTTGCCAATCGACCAAATGAGTCTTGTGTAGAAAGAACTTTTGCAGAACTTAAGAGATTCCGAAGTGAGATAGCTCTTTGCTACACGGTCTCATACATACTGGTCTTAAAATACTTCCTATTATTAAAAAGGTCATATACTCGGGGTTCTCCTAAACTTTTTGATGTAAACTGTACTTGACCGAGATTTATGAAAGTGGAAAGCAGCCCATTATTGTGTCTCTCTACCTTCTCAATCCATGGGAGCCTCATATCTAAGAAACAGCAGACAGGCCAGGCATGGCAATGAACCTGTAATCTCAGCATTAGAAAGGAAGATCCTTAAGACAGAACTGTGAAAGGCAGGCCAGCCAGGCTATACCTTGAGACTGCGATTTAAATATGGAAAGAGTAGGGCTAGAATACAGTTCAGTGACCCCAGGGCACTTGTGTAAGTGAGTGGACAAGTTTAAAGAGGAGCAGAGGTGGGGCGGGGCTATGTTTGCATGAAAACAATATTTCGGTGACAAAATGGGTATTTGATGTGATTTAGAAATAAGCTTCATCTGGCATCTTCAAACAAAGAAGTCAGCGAGCTAGCGCAGGCAGAGGCAGGAGGATCTCTGTAGGTTTGAGGCCAACCTAGTCTATATATCAAGTTCTAGGACAGTCAGGGTTGCAAAGGGAGGAGGAGGAAGAGGAAAAAGAAGAGAAGGTGATGGAGGAGGAGGAGACGACAGGTTTAGTACTCATTGTTACAATCTGTATTGAGTTAAAGAAACAGGACCTGTGCTGAGAGCCATTCAGGGTTTGCAGGAGCTATCGAGGAAACATCTTCTCTGCCCACCCAGGAAGTGAGGTAAGGGAGATGCAACAGGGTGAGCATTTCACGTCGGGGTGGGAAAGGTTCTGAGAGGAAAGGGGCTCGGTCCTGAGGCGTTTCCGCAGCCGTCCGACCTGTCCCACCAATCTACATAGAGCGCAGCGCCCAGGATTCCTCCCCGGGGCAGCTCAAGTTTCAGACTCCTCCCTCACTCCGCAGCTGTCCCGCAGCACTTACTGCCCAAAGGGGCCTTGGAGGCAGCAGCTGCTTCCACCCCTACTGCCCGGCGCCAAGGAGAGCACTTGGAGATTGCCCGCAGCCGTCAGGCTCCCCAGGGCCTCCTGCTCTCGGTGCAGCTGTGCCCGCGATCCCAGCTGCGCGGTCTTCTCGGCAGGGATCTGCACCAGCAGCATAGGTAGAACCCGCTCCATGGCCCCGGCGCAGCCCGGGGAGAGCGCGCTTCCGGGCCCCGGCCTGATAGCCATCTTGGCCCAGGCGTTCCTTCCGGTGGAGGCGCCCGAACGCGTCACGGACTTGCGCAGTGTTTTGGTACCTTGTGACTCTCCTCTGAACTGGGAGGCGGTCCTACGCCAGTTATCTTTTTAGCTTGGGCTAGGGTCGGGTCTCTACTGAATCCTGCAAGACCACGCCTACTCTCGCTTAGCTCAATTCAATAAACGCGAAATCCTTTCAGCTGATTCTGCTGGGCTTGTTGCAAAAGAGTTCTGACGCTGGTTCCTCTTACTCCACTGAAACCCAGTTTGGCACCTCTTCAATTTTTGTGGTTTTGTTTGGTTACAGGCCCTCCAGTACTGTGGTTTCCTTAGCAAGTACTTTTAAGGAACCTCCTCCCTTAACAACAAAAAATCTGAACTACCCCCCATCCCCTCCCTACACACACACACACACACACACACACACACACACACACACACACTCTGCAGCGCTTCAAGAAATCCGCACCCACGGAATTTTGGAAAGCAACCACCCTCATCAGATGCCCGGGAGCCCAGAGTTTGCAAAACTGGCAATCTTTAGTCCTCTCCCATCAAGAAGTTTTGAAGAGCAGTTTATCCAAGAAGTATTCGCCAGGCCCTTCTTCCTCTTAACTACAAAGACTGATTTTTCAGACCCTGTGCAGTTGGGTTTCCTGTACCCTTGGATACTCAGGGTTTGGGGGTGCCAAGCTCTCAGACCAATAGACCTTCTTTTGAGGTCAAATTTAACCTATTCGTTGTGGTCCTCCACCAAGGACTCTTACAGTCACGAAGATGAACGTGAACATTGAAGTTAAACGATGTAACAGACGGAGGAGTAGAGTGGAGATGGTGAGGCAGGTCACCGTTCAGTTTTTGTTTTTCTCAGGAAGCACAATCCGATATGGGAGAGAAAGGGGAGAAAGCTGAGAGGTGTTGAAAAGGCATTTGGGGAAAATCAAACAGTACCTTGTCAAGTTATTTGATAAAGGCTCCCTAGTGCCCTTGGATGCCTGATCCTCCTTTACCAGCCTTCCAGGTACTAGGAATGCAGGAGTACGCTATCACACCTACTTAACAATGCCTTCATAACATAGCCGCTTCCACAATCTGACCATTTCGGCTTAACTGCAACCTCTGTTAACATGCCTTCCTGGCTCATCCAGTCTGAAGCCTTTTCTCTACACCGGTCACTCTGAAATCATGACGTGTTTCCCCATTGTATTTATAACTAATTGATATTTTATGTCAATTCCTGCCCAACCTCTATGTAAACCTAGAAGTAACAGACTTGTGCATCACTGTAATCCTCTTGCCTGAAACCCAGCCTGGCTCATAGAAGGTACTCAGTGTTCTGTGATGAATGCAGGACTTCATTTGACAAAAATGCAACCAGGTATTTCCTATGCCAAGGAAGATGCTTATCTCGAAATCTCTCAGCCTTAGCTGAACATAATATGGTTTACATAAAGTCTGGCAACACTGAAGCAACGTCCCGGGTCAGACTTTTATTAAACACAAGGCCTTGTCTCTTATAAGGAAGGATATTCTTGACATAGCCACAAAATGGCCTTCATTGTAATTCCAAACTTACAAACAAGTTTCAACATAACATTTGATATTTCTTTAATTGTACCTAAAGTAGTCCTGCCTTAAGTTTAGGCAAATCACTTAGATTTTAAGAAAGGATATGACAGTGTTTGTGGTAGGGTCCTCCGATATAATGACATAGAGGAAATGTCTTCAACTGTATCACTGTAGATATTTCAGCTTCTCACATGTAAGTTCCAGAAGTAATCAATCAGTAGATACAGGCAAGCCTACAAAGAACAAGAGTTAGCTGCAAACACAATTCCATTCCATAAATATGTTTTAATTCATGCTTGGCTCATTCTAACAGCTGGTAAATTCTGAGGACACGGATGATCTCTTATTATTTTATATTCTGGAATAATCTCTCAACTATTTTTTGAATGAACTAGTTATTCAGCTTTTCAAATTACAGCTCTGTAATAGCACCTGCAAACGACCAACATTAGGAAAAAATGCAAAGGTTTGGCTGAACAGTCACAGGACCCTAATAAGTCCAGACTGGGTTACTCGGTGAAGTGATTTTTTAATTTTTTTTAAATTACATCATTTCAGGAGCCACTTGTCTCATTCCATCATGTGAGTCCACACTGGTCCTAGAACTTTTTTTATTTTTATTTATTTTTATTTTTTGAGACAGTCTCATGTCTCACTATGTAGGCCTGGCTGGCTTGGAACTTGCTATGTAGACCAGGCTGGCCTGGAACTCACCCTTGACCCTGAGTGCTAAGATCAAAGGCATGTACTACCATATTACAAAGCACATGATTTTTTCACAATCACCGTCTGTAGGAAATCTGGTGTGCGGACTTGGGCTGGGCCCGACAAGGGGCTGTAACTTTATCTCTGTAGGCACTTACTCCATTCTGGCTTCCAGCTGCTGAACCAATTGTTTGTCCATGTGGTGGCAGAACAGGAGGAGCAGGTTTCTGGGGAAGGCCAGAGGTTCTGCCAGGGATGCTGGGGGCAGCTGAGCTATCTCCCAGCCAATCAGAATCACCAAGTCTGTCCTAAGGGACAGAAAACACAAGCCCAGCAGAGCCTTTATGCAGGAAACTGATATCCGGGCAGAGGCCTGTATTATTCTTCCACCACCGCAGCCACTGATCCCGCCCCAGACGGCAATTGACAGGTAATGTCTGTACACTTGATACATACTTGATAATGCCTATCCATCCTTCTTCCGGTTTGATCTTAACTCTAAGGAGCTAATATGCCACTCCCAGGTGAAGAAACAGACTAAGAAGTGAAATGTCTCAAAGTTACATTGCAATAGACAGGTCTGTTTGACTCTAAATGTGTCTACTTTAATTACTATGACCTGTCCCTTGTGGGAAACCAACATTCTCAGACACCCTGTAGGGCAGGGAGAAGATACAGTCCTGCTAGTTCTTTCTTGCCCAGCATCCTCCCTGGTATTTGACTATGTTGTTCGGGAGCTCTTTCGTCGGGCTCACCCTACGCACCCAGGGGTATTGGGGTGTATTGACAAGGCCTTTATGATCTTACCAAGCTGCCCAGTCGCTGTTGGATTGGAGGGACGATTCCAGGGATACCAGCTGCTCTCCATGACTCAGCAGGGCATAAAGCAGAGATATCCCAAACTGCGAGGGATGGGCAGTTCAAAACAAAAGGAGTTCACCAAGGCGTTCGTGTTTATCTGTCTTCGCTGTCTCTCTCCACCAGAAGGACAGGCTTGTATGCACAGATGGAGACCAATAATGCCACAAGACCTGTCAGATTTTATAGCTCGGCAAAGATCTCGGACATACCCAAAGGGATTACTGCTCTGAACTTTCCACAAGTTTTTTTGAGAGCTGACCAAATGGAAGAAATCAGTCAGTAGACGAGGCACAGAGCCTGGACTGATGGCTGATGCAGGTAGTCTGTGAGCCATACTTTCAAAAGTCCCACTTTAAGCAGAGCGCCCAAGAGAATCCTCTCGAGATTGACAGAGTCTGGCAAATCTAGAGTTGCAGACCTAAAAACCCGCTGTTGTAGGCTTCAGTGGAGTGCAATGAAATGGTATGGGAAATGCTCAGTATACAAAAGCCTTGTTTGGATGCTCAGCAAAGAAAAAAAGACTTTCTGTCTTTCCTTTAGTAAGAGAGCCTAATATTTTAAACAGGTGGGATCTGGGCTGGCCTTGAACTCACAAAGATCCAGCTGCCTCTGCCTCCAGGGTGCTGGGATTAAAGGTGTGTCCCACCTCCACCCGGCTAAGTGTGGAGACTTTTTATGTGGAAGCAGCCACAGGGAGTCCATTGGAAAAGATGTCTTTTTCCCCCTGATGCATGTCTCAGGTAGTGCGGGCTAGCCTTGAATCCACCATAAAGACAAAGGTGACCTTGAAATTATGATACCGGTTTCTACTTTCTCCTACTAGTTCGAACCACCATACTCAATTTGGGTGGAGATCAAACCCAGGACTTCATGCACACCCCACAAGCTCTCTCCCAGCTGAACCACCCCCTCCCCGCCCCCTGCCAAGACGTGTACTTCTCTTTCCTAAATGCCAGGAGGCAAGAAGTCCTGTAGGGCATGCCATTTCCTCCCCGGCATTCACCACAACCCTCACCACGTGTTCACAAGCCACAGTGCCAGGCAGTGTGGAAAGAAAGAAATGGGGAGGGAGAGAGGTGGGGAAAGGAAAGGGAGAGAAAGAGGAAACACAAGGACCTCGTGTTTAATAAGCTCTCTTCAGATGACCCTGTGCTCACAGGGAGGATTTTGTCTGTTTCTGAGACAGCTTTAGAGTGGCCTAACACTTGCCACGAAGCTTAAACTGACCTAGAACGCATGATCCCTCTGCCTCAGCCTCCCCGGTAGTAGGAGGACACTCTGTCCAGTTCTCCTTAGACACTGAGAAGTGCTACTGAGGGTGAGATTTGTGTAGAAATGAGCTCATTCCCTTGAGTGTTTCTTGCTAGTGGTACCATTTAGAAATCATCTACGGGAGGCCTGGCGTGATGGCACATGCAGCACAGCTGGGCACATCTGTAATCCCAGCACTCAAGCAGGCAGAGGCAGGCGGGTCTCTGTGAGTTTGAGGTCAGCCTGGTCTACAGCATGAGTTCCAGGACAGCTGAGGCTATACGGAGAAGCCCTGTCTCGAACCCCCCCCCAAAAAAAAAAAATTATCAGTTCAAGGTTATCTTTGAGGTTACGTGGAGATTTCTAGGTCAGCCTAAACTATGTGAGACTCTGTCTCAAGAAAATGGAACAAAAAAGCCATCTGTGGAAGGAAAAACGTCCCAATACATTACCTGATTCTGAAGTACCACAGAGACTGGCCGCTCTGAGGAGCCAGGTGCCAGCAGCAGCAGACCTTGTAGTCCGTGGAGAAGCTGATGGAAGGTCAAGTGCCGGATATATTTCCCCAGAGGTTTGAACAGCATGTGGAGAACCTGCACGAAGCTCAGTCAGTATCTCTCCCAACCATTGTAACTCCATCCCCTCATGCTTTGCCTCCAGTCCCTTCCCTGTCTAACCAGCTTTAGGCATCTTCCTGGTCAGGTTCCTTGCCAGGCTTAACACCGATCATAACTCTATTCCTAATAGGGTCCTAGAGCACTGACCTATTCTACAGTGGCTTTCTACAGGAAGTAGATGTGAGACTCACCCCTCATTAGGGGACCCTCGTCTCCTCTCAAACTCAAGGCCTACACGTACCTGTACAGCCGTCCATCTGTTTACCTTTGCTCCTCATATCTGAAGATGATCTGCTGTCCCCAGGGTTGTTTGCTCTGTAACTTCCTTATTTGAGGGGTGGGCAAGAACACCCCTACTCTACATCTCACTAGCATCTCTAGGAAGGGAGGGATTCCAAACCCATCAAGACCATCCCCTTTGCCACAGCACCTGGTCAGCCGCGTCCCTTCGGATCAGGAGGGGCAGATGGTAGATGATGTACAGGAGAAGGCTAACAGCTTGATCACGGGGCAAGAAGGGGAGCAGCCGAGCCACCAGAATCTTCCCTTTCCTCACAGACATCACCTGCAGAAGGTTATCTGCTGTCTCCCTGCAATGGACAGAGGAGAGTGTTTTGAGAGTTATGACTGGAAAGAAGGCTTTATGCCAGCAGCAAGGCCAACGCCTGCTGACCCTCCTCTTCTGAGGGGAGGTGGGACTCTCTCATACTCACTCGGGGTTGTTCTGCTCCTGGGTCTTTAAGGCCTGGAAGAGCTTCTCAACCTGGTTGCTCTGTTCCCCTAAGTGGTGGTGGTGGGCAAAGCCATCCTTCTGGCTCTCCTCTATCTTTAGTAACTGAAGGAACATCTGGGAATTCCACAGTGGAGGGGGGTTGTTAGCTAAACAATATCGTCTCCTTAAAAACTTAATCAAGAGCACCTCTCAGTGAGCTTCTCTGACCTTCTCAATCTGGAACAACACTCGAAGCCTCTGGCCGCTTGCAGCTCCTGTATCCTGGGTACAGAGAGGCCCCAGCCATCAGCCACACAAGTCAGTGCAGCTGGAAAAGGCTAGACGCAAAGTCTGAGCACACTGCTCCCTCACTCTTACATGACAATTTAAACCCGAGCATGAACGTGTTCTAGAAAAAGAAATTCTGGGATGATCACACACTCCTACCTGCTCTTGAGTTCCGTGAGATACAGCATCAATAGCTCGCCGAGGGCTAAAACATGTTGACACGGCTACCTGGCCCAGGGAACCCTCAATTCGTACCACTGCAAAAAGAGAGCCAGGAGGCACACCCTTCGCTGTACACGCCCGCCCCCAGGTTTCCAGCCCCAGCCAGCAGCCCGGCCATACCTGGCTTATACACTTCTGCCTTCTGGATGTAAGGGGGGACCAGCTTGGAAGACTCGGCCCTGTTCCTCTGTCCAAGCAGCTCTCTGTCTGCCTGCCTCTTCTCTAGCTTCTGATAGTACTCCTGTGAGTCCAGGGAACAAGGAACGTGTATAGGCGCCTATAAGGCATTTCTGAAGCTCAAAAGAGTGTACGGAGATGGACGTGCCCACATTCCCAGGGTAGGTAGGGAAACCTCTCAGAGGATGGAGACAAACCTGGGGGATTTGGAAAACAGGAGATAACCCAATGGACCAAAGTATAGGAGACTAGCAGAGAAGAAGCTTGAGACACTAACTTTACAAAGAAGGATTTCGTCTTGGAGTAACTGTGCCAGCACCTAAACAGATGGGGCCTCTAGGAGTTGAAGAGAGACTCAGAGAAGGCCCAGCAGTCTTAACTCATCAGGCCATGGTCAAAGCTGGGACTAGGGGCCCAGAGCTCACCTGGTAATAATAGTCATCCAGGCAGGGCTTCTCACTCTGCAGCTGAACCATCTGCAGTTTTATCACCCAGTCCTTCTCTTTCCGGGTCATGAGGTTAGCATATGGGTCTGGCTTCTGAGACCAGGGCTTCTGGGCTAGGAGACTTCAAGCCAGCAGAAACATCCCTTTAGGCCAGCCCTGCCATAATGACTTCCCAAGGAGAGGTGAACAGGCAATGGAATGTTCTTGGAAAGACTGGAAAAGGTGCAGTGTTGGGCAGCATGGTGGAGTAAGGCATATGCCGTGGTTTGGGAAAAAGGGTTAGTCACGAGGAAGTACCCAGGACGCATACAGGCTGGTTCCCCTCAGCCCTGCTTCTCATCTAAGCTTTACCTCGCTTTTTGAGCTTTTTGTCTCCGCTGCTGCAGTAGGCTCTGATGGTGCTGAGGGTGGAGCTGGGTCAGATGACTGGGAAGGCTTAAAGGGAAACCAGCTGAGTGGCAAACTTCTGCTCTGCACCCCAACCCTCCCGTCCATTCTGCTCCGGCAAGCACCAGGAAACAGCTGAGGCAGCCCTATGCATCTGCATGCCTCCCCCAAATGAAAAAGCAGAAAACCTGGCATTCCTCACTTCCCCATCCCAAGATAGGTTTTCCTGTAGTCTGTCTGCAGGCAGTCTAGGCACACTGGGCAACCTTTTGGCTCGGTTGTTAGCAGTTCTGAGTTCTAGTCTCAGTCCTGTCAGGATAGCCAACCTCCCTACTTTAATTTCCTCTGGACTCTGTCTCTTCATCTGTGAGGGAGCAGAGACTGGACTATGCTTTAGATTTTTGTTAGTAAATCTCTTAAGTGTTTTTCCCCGCCCCTGTGGCAGCTGGTAAAAGGCGATAGAGGTAGTTCTTGGCCACCATGTCTTGTGAGCTGTAGGAGGCACTCAGCTTGCCTTGGTAATGTGGCCTGGCACCGGTACCTGAGTTTAGGGGGCCATGGGGTCTGTGGTCCGTAGAACAGAAAAGAATCTGGCGAAGGCTGTTGAGGTCCAAAGTGACGGGCTGGAGAGCTGGTTCTTGGAAACCCAGGCTGAAAAGGAATTGGTGATAGACAGTCCAGAGGACAAGGGGGAAAGGAGAGAGCGCTTACCCAGCTCAGGTAATTTCCTGTTCTTTGTTGGGGAGCCCTCGGAGCAGCTATGCTTCTGGCCTTGGTTGACAGCTTGGCACCTCCTAGGAGGCTCTTTTTTCAGGCCCTAACTGTCTGGGGGCGGGGAGGACCCACTTTTGAACACTCCTCATGCTTTCGTGTTCTGTCCTCTGCCAGTGAGGGCAGGCTCCCCTGCCTTTTTCCTCCTCACTCAAGCCCTCAGCAGAGCTTAATTAGTGCATAGCCCTCCCTGCAGGGGTTTCCTGGTCTCCGGTTTTCACGTGATCATGTCATTCATGGACGGCAGGTATCTTTCCGGCCCTGAGTTCAGTGCGGATCATCCACTGAGATGGTTGCTGATGTCGGAGCAGGGATCTAATTTGTCCCATGTGGTACGAGTGACAGTCCCAGTAGCACTTATTAGGACCGTTCTGCACGGCCTGTCGTTTACCGAGCTCTTCTACATGATGTGCCTGCCCCCCCCACTAATGCCTCATTGAGGGTTCTTCGTCTCTAGGGCAAGGAGGAGAGTAGACGACATAACAGAAACCAGGGACACTCCATACCTCCGGGAATGGGATGTTCACGTCACTCGGTCACCTCCCCACAGGATGGAGACTAACGCGGACTCACCTGCCACAGGAAATTCAGGGAGGCTTGTGACATCCCCAGGGCACCAGAGGAACTGTGCAGGCCTCTCTGGAACAGAAAACAAAACAAACCCCAGCAGATTCCAGAGGACCCCCACACTGTCTCCTCCTTTTGTTTCCATGGGAACAAGGCTGGAGCAGCAAAGCCAATCATTTCAACAGCTAGGACCTAACAGCCTGGCATTCCCCTTCATCCTCAAGGCCCAACAGGACAGGATCCTTCCTCCTCCTGAGAAGGTGACTGACATTTTAGGAGTAGGTTGCAGGAGGTCACCTCACTTATACCGGAAAGTCCTTGTCTTTCTCCACTGGTCACGTGAACTTAAGGGAGAAATCCTAGAACTGGCCTCCCAAGACACTGGAGCTAAGACAAAGGTGACTCACCAATAGTAGGGTTACTATCTATGGGAGACACAGGACCCTGCTGGGATGTTGTATCCACATGTATGTGTAGCTACATGCCTGTACATGGCATGCACATGGAGGTTAAAAGATAACCTCTGATGTTGGACTATAGGGCTCTTTCCACCTTTTTCTCATTGGCTTGGAACGTTCCTGGCTGGATGAGCAGGCCTTGTGTCTAAAAACCCTTTGGTCCCTACTTCCCATCTTGCAGTGGCCGAGATTACAGACATCCACTGCTGGATCCAGTGCTTTACACTTGTTCTGGGGGTCTGAACTCAGGTCCTCACATTCACAAGGCAAGGGCTTTACCAACTAAGCCATCTCCCCAGCCTTGTGGAATTTTGTTGTATGTTTGGCTTTGGAGTGTGTGTGTCTGTCTTGTCTTGTCCTGTCTGTCCTGGCTGTCGGTCTGTCTATGTTGTCTGTCAATCTGTCTGTCTGCCACGTTCTGTCTATCTGTTCTGTTTATCTACCCTGCCCTGTTGTCAGTCCTGTCTGTTCTGTTTTGTCCTGTCTGTTCTTTGTTCTGTCCTATCCCGTCCATCCTGTCTGTCTATGAATGGGTCACTCTATGCGATACAGACTGGCTGGCAAGTCATGACCCTTCTGTTTCTACCTCAGGAGTCCTAGAGCTAGGACTGCAGGTGTGTGCCACCACACCTTGATTAGGAGCTGATCTTAGGCAAAGGACAGCTGCAGAAACTTAACCTGGAAGACGGAAAGAGAGAGGAGAGGAGAAAGCCCTCACTCAGCATCATGCCTGGAATAAACCACGGCAATTCAGAATGGATCTTAACGAAGAAGCAGAGGTGAGAGAGAGGCACCGAGGGAGTCAGTGAGCGTCTAAGTTCAGGCCTGCTGTCTCTAGCCCTACCTGCCATGGTACTTGGGCGTTTTGGATGGCACGCAGTATGGCTGGGTCCCCAAGATTCTTCTCTTCCTCCTCCACTTCTGGAGCCTGATCTGAACACACACCTTCCTCTTCATTCTCCTTCTCTTCCCCTTCCTCCAGTTGGAAGGGAGACACTAAGCCTTCTTTAGGAGCCAACGGAACAGAGAACTTGCTTGGTCTCTGGTGTAGGTGCAGACCTGGGGAAGAAGATAGAGACACTGGTGTGAGAACTCTTATCCACACAGGCTGATGCTCAACAGAAACTGTTCAGGAGCCATCTCTAGAACCATTTTTAACTACTGTTCTTAGCCCTGCTGCCTCAGGACACCCCCAAACGACCCACAACGGCGCCTGGCAACTACCAAACCCCCTCACTCTGCACATGTCATTTCAGTGGTCTGAATGGATACCGCAGGTTTCTCTCTCCACCTGCTCCTCCAGAAAACAAGCCCTTCTGTTGCCTCTTTAAATGGACTAGTCTCAGGTGTCCCAATCAGTGTAGCTTAGCCCCGTGTGCTGGGTCCTTCACCCTGTACGTCTGCTGAGCAGCCATACAGAGAGTTCAGGAGCATTATTGTTTTCCCACAGGGGTGAGGAAAATAAAAGGCCAGAAAAATCTACCTCAGCAGCAAGTGGAAGAGCTTTCACAGTATGTGAGCCCGGTTTCTTAACCATGCTGATGCGTGCCCCTTGCCTGTGTTACCTCTGGACGTTTTAGGTAGACACCCCAGCCCGCTTGGCAATACCTTCAAGGCATTTCATCTCGGCAGCCTAGTGGGCTTCCTTGTCAGTTGTGTCCTCCACTGATTGAGAAGCCTCTGGAAGGGAAACCTGGGACAAAGGAGAAACCCAGAGGTGTTCTCCTCCTCAGCCAGTAAGGATGGATGGCCCCTAAAACATCCGAGGTCTCCTTCCAGCGTGGTGGGCAGAGAATTATTGATCCCAGGCCTCAGAAAGTGAGGGCAGCCTAACTCTCCCACCCCCAATCCCACCAGCTGAGTTGCAAGAAGGGACAGAAGTGAGGCATCTGGCTAGGCCACTTTCTGAGCACAGTGACAGCCTGCTGCCGACACCCACTACCTGACTGCTGCAGTCCTTCCCACAGGTGAGCTGTGGCAGCCTGGGCCAGGGCCTGCTTGCCTCTCCTACCTTTTGAAGGCTCAGCTCTGCCTCCTGCTCACCTGTTAAAGGGCCAGCATGCTTCACTGCTGAGGTGGTGTAGAAGTATGAGAACTCTAATAAAGAAAACCCTTAGTCAGGTGTGGTAGCACGGGCCAGTGATTCCAGCCCTTGAGATGTAGAGAGGGGAGGAGGGTCAGGAGTTCAAGGGCAGCCTCAGCTACCTAGGAAACTCGAGGCCCGCCTGGACTTCACAAGACTGTCTCAAACAACAACAAAACAAGAACAAACAAACAAGAAAACTCTTAATTGAGTAGAGGCCACACCTGTAATCCCAGTACTTGGGAGGCTGAGAAAGGAAGAATGACTTGGGTTTAAGGCCAATCTGGGCTACATAGTGAATTCCAAGTTGGGCTTGTCTCAAAAGATCAAAAAATAAAAGCAAAACAAATAGAATCTCTCTCGCTTGGGAAAGAGAAATAAACTGTATATTTAGCCATTCAAGTCTATGAGTAAAATTCATTGAGGGCTGACATTTGGTGGCAAGTGCTTAAAAGAAAGTATCCTTTAAGAAAAGTTTAGGAAAAGTGAGGCTTGGTGGCACACACCTGTAATCCCAGCACCAGGGGAGGCAGAGGCAGGCAGATCTCTGTGAGTTTGAGGACAGCCTGGTCTACAAATGAGTCTAGGACAGTCAAGGCTACACACACACACACACACACACACACAAAAGGTGGGGGGAGGCTAGGAATTTCGTGAAGAACTTTGTTTCCATTGGATGCCTAGGTCTTACACCAACCTAATGAGAGAGGAAAGTTCTGGATGCGTCCTGGGAAGTCTGCGTCAGGGAAGGTGCACCTGAAGATGCTTGAACCCAGCAGCAGCTACCTCCCTCACCCAGCTGTCGCTGACGCGCAGCCCTTTACATTCAGAAGCCCCGCCCACTGCCCCGCCCACTCTTTCTTTCCAAGGATATTGAAACTATCCTAACAGGAAGAGATTTGCTGCGCACTGTGACTTACAAACAAAATCAAGTTACAGAGAGGGTGGTTTGAACTGGGATATGACTTCCTACGCTTTACTAAACCGCCTCACCCTAATGGAACAAGTGAGCACAGCTTGAGCTTCACCTTATCCAAGACATCTCAGACATGCTCCTTCCCGGCTCTAGTATGTGTGTTCCTTCTGTGAGTTCACTGGTCCTTACAGCGTTTCCCCCACTTTGTAGCCACTGCACTGTCAGAGTTCACTATGATTATTAGCTACATTGTATTTTACGTTATTTGTTACTGTGTGTGTGGTCTAGGAGTTAGACCGGGGCTTTATCCATTCCAGCCAAGTGTCTCATCACCCGAGCTACACTTCCAGCACTTGGGAGGCTGACGCAGTATGTCTCCAGCCTGAGGCAAGCTGAGGTTGTGTAGTGAGCTCCAGGTCTGGGCTACACAGCGAGTCTCAAAGCAAGCTAACGGAGGAGGAGTGGAAGGAAGAGAAACTCACCATACCGAAAGATGCTGATGGGACCACACCCTGGCACAGAGCTGCCTGACAACTCTCTGTCCAGCCTGGGACCAGTCACTACTCGATTGACCCCGTAGGTAAGGATGGGTGGTGATGTGTATGTTGCCTTCTCCTTGCCTCGGCCTCCTCAAACACTCACATCATGTGTGCTGGCCTGGAACTCCCATCGCAAAGTTTCCCCCAGGTAATTCAGGGTCTTCGGAGACTGTTATTTAGGCTGCAGGGCCCAGCTCTGGTGTAGGCGCCGGTGATCTGAACTCGGCACCTCATCCCTTAGCAGCAAGCACTTTACCGTCAGGGCCACCTCCCCAGCTCCCACCCCACGGGTTTCACCGGCTCCACAGGACCAAGTTTGCTCCCTTAGAGACAGGCTGCTGAGTGATGGATGGCCGATTCTACACCCCACCTCAGTTTACGCTGCCTGTCAAAGCTGGTCTTTGGCCAGGTTGTTCCTTCACAGGAAGGAATACAAAACCTGTTCTTTGCCCAGAAGGCTGGAGCAGATGTGCTTACTGGCCTGGTGACCCTCACAATGTCTGTGTGGCCGGAGGTTTTCCCAGACCCTGGCCATACATTTGTTTCTCTCAGAACCTATCTTCTTTGTGTGTTTTACAAAGAGTTTTGACGCAGTCATGTCTGATCCGTAGTTGGCTTACCTTGTTCCTCGAGGAGGTTTAGGTATGCTTTGTTGAGCATGCAGGATTGATGAAACATCAGAATCGTTTTCACGAAATCGTGCTGTGCTTAAATATGCCTAAAATAAACAATTTAGGGTCAGACACCCAAAGTTTGAACCAACACCTGCCACTGAGTCCTGCCGGACTGAACTACCGTCTTGCCTCCCACAGCTTGTCTCCCTGCTGGCTTAGAAGGTCACAGAGAGGCCCACAAAGGTCGCTGAGGACAGGCTCTGAGCTTTCAGCAGACCTGTGCCGTTCCCTGTGGCTCTGTGCCTCTTGCTTGCAGTGTGAGATGCGAGCTTGCAGTTATTCCTGCCTCGGGGCCTCCACGCCGCCATCATGGACTCTAACCCTCTAAAACCATAAGCCCAACTAAATGTTTTCCAGGTTGCCTCGGTCAAGCCACTTTATCACAGCAATATAAAGGTGTTACTTCTGTCTCATCTCCAGCTAGCAGAACACACAGGGAGAAAGTGAATGGGGTAGTGGGCCGGGAGGACCAGAGGCCACTGATGATGTGAGAGCTGTGTCTCACCCTGGTCGGGTGGTCAGCTCCATCCCCTGTGGACGTTGGGCTCAGGAACTGTCTGAAATGTGAGTGTATAGTCGCTTTTTGCCTGGCACCGATCTTGTACCCCTCCAGGAACATTTGGGCCGGGGAGTGGTTAGCTCAGAACAAACTGTTAGAGGTTTGTAGGTGCAGCCTAGCAAGAACATGTATGTACAGATACCTTGTTATAATGGGAAGTACAACTGGGTCTTTAGAATACAGGAAATGCAAGTGCCCCTGTGGGTCCTTCTCCTTCCTTAGTCACTTATGTCTATGACTCTGTGTTATTGGAAGGGTGGTGCCCTGCCACCATGTGCTCAGCTGATCGTCAGCAGTGTTTAATACCTGTGAGGGGATTCTCCAGCACATGGCCCTGCACGTCAGAGCACACCATTCAGAGCACACCAAACACTCCCGACGTGGTCTGAATGTCTCTGAAACATCTCTGTGTGTAAGATAAGTAGAGACAGGTGCAAGCGGGATCGAAGGCTGGAAGGCATTTAGTTCATATTGGATAAGCGTGTGAGGGTCGTTTCTCCGTAACCCTAGGCGTCACTGCTTTGGGGAGGGCTGCTACAAGGGATTCCACTGGTGTCATTGACTTTGAGATAAGGTCTCTATGCGTAGCACAGCAGACCTCAAATTTGCCATCTTTTGGCTTAGGCTTCCCATGAGCTGGGATTCTGAGCAGAAACCATCAAGTCCAGACTGAGTTTGTTTGATTCTGACAATTCCCGCCTTGGTCTCCGAACAATATTCTCTGAAGACATCATTAATTATCTGGTGCTTTGACCTGGATTGTTCCCTGTTACTGGTTTGATCTGACTCTACACTTCATCCGGTGGAGGGTGAGTGACAGATGTCAACGAGTTATCGAAAACAAACAGAAGACCCACAGCAAACAATCCTTTATGGCTAATGTTAAATTGTTAAGAGGTGTAAAAGAAGTGGCCCTTAGGCTAAGCCTCCCTGCCTAGTCTGCTCTTTCCTGTGGGTGATGGCCGAGCCTCTCCAAAAGCCCAGTTCAAGTTCTTGGTTAGGAGGTAGACTTCTGCAGAATGTCAGCTCACAACCCAGTCTCAGAAGGATCGCTAACCAGGACCAAAGCTGTGGGTGACACAAGATCCAGACAGCTTGTTAGGAGGTTGTACAAAGTTTATCGAGTGGGCTT